ACCAAGGCCAGCTTTGCCATCTCAGCACTGGATTAAATAAGATGCCGCTTGCTAGCACCTGGAGTCTAGAGGTGTCAGCAGGTCATGCCAAGGAAGCAGGGGCTGGGCGTGAAGCCCACACCACCTCTGTGCAAGCGAGGAGGGCTGCAGGGGGCAGGCACAAGGTGGCCTGTCCACGGGGACAGCTGCCACTCAGCCTGGATTCCATGGCATGTGGGCAGTGTGGGAGCAGAGCAGACCTTCCCCTTTTGCAAGACAAGCTGGAAATCTGGAACTCCACATGAAGTTTCCCAACTCTAGGAGGTTGGCTCAGAGTGTTATGAGATGTGGGTCAACCGCTGTACAAACTCACTTTTCAACCTCTGCCTCATATCCTGCTCTTCTATGGAGAAAAGAGTATAAAACCTATGGAGTTTTTGCAAGTTTCAACAGGTACACTGAAATTTATGGACGTAATGCAATTCCTAACGCCCCTTCAAACCTTCCATATCTTTTCAAATTATGGTTTTCTCTGGATATATACCCAGGAGTGGGATTGCAGGATCAAATGATAGCTGTATTTTTAGTTTTTTAAGGAACCTCCATACTGTTTTCCATAGTGGCTGCACAAATTTACATTCCCACTAACAGTGTAGAAGGGTTCCTTTTTTTCTCCACATTCCACTCCTGGGCATATATCTGAAGAAAACCATACTTCAAAAAGATACATGCACCCCAGTGTTCATGGCAGCACTATGTACAATAGCCAAGACATGGAAGCAACCTAAATGTCCATCGACAGAGGAATGGATAAAGAAGATGTGGTACATATATACAATGGAATACTACTCAGCCATAAACAAAGAATGAAATGTTGCCATTTGCAGCAACATGGATGGACCTACAGATTATCATACTAAAGTAAGCCAGACAAAGACAAATGATATGCTTATATGTGGAATCTAAAAAATAATGATACAGATGAACTTATATACAAAACAGAAATAGACCCGCAGAGATAGAAAACAAACTTATGGTTACCAGAGGGAAAGCAGGGGGAGGGAAAAATTAGGAGTTTGGGATTAACATATACACACTACTATATATAAAATAGATAACCAACAAGGACCTACTTGTATATATATATATATATATATAACTGAATCACTTTGCTATACACCTGAAACTAACACAACATGGTAAATCAACTATATTTCAAATCAAAAAAAAGAAACCAAACTTCCGTTTCCTTCCATGTGTCCACAAAATCTGGTTTCTGGAATCCGAGCTGAAAAACACTTTTCTAGCAGAAGCCGATCACACCAACCACTCCTGAGGTTAGTTGTGCTATGGTCTACATAGCAAGAGGTCCTGGGCCCATGGCCTCATGAAGCAGACAGTACTCCCATTTATTGGCTGCATGACCTAAGGCAGCTTCTCTGTGCCTTGGTCTTCTCATCTATAAAATGGACGTACCAAAAGCACCCACTCAAAAGGCTGTTGTTAAAGACTCAACGAGTTACCATATGCAGGTACTTGAAACAGTGCCTTGCTCACAGCATGTGTTAGATTTATTTTTCTCCAGAACATTCCAACCTGTGAGGTCTCCAGCCAGGGGCCAAGTGCCTATTGAGGACACCAACCCTTTGCTTCCAGGTTAACAGGGGACAGCAAGGCCAGACCTAGACTCAGTTTTGCCCCGCACGATCACCAAGTGTGGAGGTAGAGGAGAAAGGTATCCACACACCTTGGACTACTGAGAACTTCCTCTTCCTCTCCTCAGACGAAGTATGAAGTCATGAGCTGGTGGATGACTTAGAAATACAAAGTACAAAAGACTTTAGTCATTCTTCAGATGTCTGATCCCGTTTTTTCCTAAAACATGGAAGGCCAAGCCGTTATAATAGGGTTCAGATCTGCTCTAGGGGGCAAGTCATGCTTGAGCCAAAACATAACAAAAAGCCAGCCATCAATCTAATTCTCCATATCAGTATTCTATTTCCAACCAGATTATCAAGGAACACTTGCTGAGCACCTGCTATAATCAGAGTACTGTTCTCAGCTGCTGGGAATTGTAAAGAAAATAATGGTACCTGGTTCTGCAGAAGCTTATTCATTCCCGGAGTTAACAAATATTTGTTAAATTCTCACTTAGTACCAGGCACTAGGGAAAGATTAAAGCCTGCCTCCTGGAGCATGTGATGTCGGGAGATGGAGCGGGGCAGATAACAAACAAAGAGCTACGTAAATTCAATAGTAGGTCAGTTGGTAATAAGCTATACAGAGAAAAAACAGCAGAACAGGGGAGTGTTTGAATGGAGGGTGTGTAGTACAGAACAGTCAGAGAGGGTAGAGTTGGCATTCGTGAGCCTGATGGTGCAGACACTGTCTGAGCCCCAGTTAGCCTTTCTCAGAGCTGCTGTGGTGGTGGAGAGGGGTGAGGGAGCCTTCAGCAGAGGTGGGCAGGCCACCAGGCCATGGAGCAGAATGGATAAAAGGAAAGAGACTCAGGGGGCTGCAGCCTGTGAGAGCCAATGGGAAGGTACCAGGTGCTCCCAGGAGCATCACTTGAGTCAAAGAAAGAGACCACAAATTCATTGGCCACAGACCTCTGCCTTTGGGTTAGCAAAGCACCTGGTGGCCAAGCGGGAAGGGGACACTGAACTGGAGTCTAGCAAATGCCAGCCCGGTCCCCCCAGGAACTGGTACAAAGCTAGGTACCCCTCTCCCTCCTAGTTTCCTAAGGGCCTTTAAGCCACCTGACCTTCTCTCCCCATCCGCCTGGGCCCCCTTAGGGAAAGACAGGGCAGGGGGAGGAAGCCACTGGAGAGGAGAGGATGTTATTATCCAAGAGGACTGAACACTACCCAGAGGAGCTGTTTAATTCATCCAACTGGACAGTGCTTTACTCAGGCTGGATAATTGCTTCTTGCTACCCAGTAGGTGAGAGTCCAAGGCAAGTTAAGATCAACTAGAGATGGAGAAATTACATTTCCGCTGCTTAGGAGGAGGAGGGAAGGAGGGAGGGAGGAAAAGTGGAGAGAGTGAATGCAGAAACTCTTTTGAGTTTTGCTGAAAACATGGAAATGATCCAGAAGAGGGAGAAAACTTGATGATGCAAGAGAGAGAGAGACTTTCTAAAGTGATTTCTAGAATTTCGAGGAGGCGAATGAAGTGCTGACGGGCAGAGTTCACTTCAGGCACAAGTACCATCCACTCATTCATCTGTCCAGGGGGTGGACGAGGGGGGTGGTGGTGATGGGAGCATGTAGTCCTCTTCCAGCTGTTTCTATTCTTTCCAGGAATTGGAATGCAAGATCATCACCTGAGAGCGAGGATGGGGACGAGGTCTTGGGGATTAAGGAGAGAGGAGGATGTACAAAAGAGTGGTTTGGAGGGCGAGAGAGCGAATTAAATAGGATAGGTATGAGGATGGTGGGAGAAAACTAAGCATCCAGCTAGAGGTTGTGAATTTCAAGTGAAACAACTCTAGGTGCTTGAGAGACTGCACAGAGTAAGCAGAGGGTTCCACTTAACCAGGGTTATGGTTGTGCTCTCGTAAGGAGACAAGTATGACAACAGAGAAAAGAGCACGGGAATTGAGGGTGTTTTCCTTGGGGCGATTAGTATTGCTCTCGGAGTTTAAATCCATTCAAGTGGGGAAGCGTGGACTTGAGGCAGGTGAGGGACAAGGAAAAGGTAGGAGGAGAAGCCGAATGGAGGTCCCAGCGCGGTTGAAGGATTGTAGGAGTTGAGGTATTAGAGAAAGTGAGCTAGAAAGACAGAGGGTGAAGGTCAGAATCTGGGAGGGCTGAAATTGAGATGAAGGCGAGCTCCCAGGTACTGGTAATGATAAGGTGTAAGGGATGTACACAGGAACCGCTGCCTGAGATGGGGGGGAGGACAAGACCATTGATAGAAAGGAGAGGCAGAGGAATTGTGCAGGGGTGTGAATTTTAGGAGGAGTGCTTGAGAGAGTGAAGGTAAGGCACCCAAATTCTCAAGAATGAGGGTGAGCGGTGGGGGAGGGGGCTGCAGAGGGCAGAGTGTGAGGAAGTTAGATTCAAAGGTAGGTTTTAGGATGGCTGGGAAGAGCAATGATGAGGAAGGTGACAGGTACCCCTCCTCGCAGCCCATGGCTCTGCTTGTGAAAGAGGACCACGGGGAACGGGGCGGGGATGCGAGGCACTAGAGCAAAGCCTGGTTTCAGTTCCAGAAAGAGGAAGGGAACCTTGGGAAAAGAAGTTGAGGATTTAAACCACAGTCGGATGGATGGAAAAACCACTAGAGGAGCGACTATCCATGAAGAGATTTTAAAAAAACCTCTGTTCTAAGGACTTGAAGATTAAATGGAAAGCACAGCACCAAATACATCCTGAGCTCTCAGTGTCAGCTATTGTCATTAGGACCACAATGAATTGACTCATAAACCAGTTTTTAGTCTTTTCCCCAGAATTTTAGTTCTTTCTGGTGTTGGCCAATACTCTGCTTTATTACATTTATAGCATATTTTGTACACAGGAACAAAACAGCACACGTTTAAGTACGCAGAGGTAAACGTAAATACTTAAGCCTTGTTCTTTAAAATGAATAGACGTGGTCATATCCATAGATTTCAGAGTCATAGACATCGTTGAAATTACTCGGTCAACTCCATCACCGCTTGAAAATTTACAGAAGAGGAGAACTGGCTGGGCAAGCAAGGCTGGGACTGATCCGAGATGATTCGGTTGTTGAGCCGCGACCAGAACCCGGGAGGGGCTCTAGATTCTGGTCTAGGCTCCTCTCCTATTATTGGTATTGCGGCACCTTCCCGAACCGTCAAGACGGAGCCACCAGCCGAGGTCCCTCAGAAGGTTCCCCTCTGAACCCAACCTACAAAAGAGCCCACGCTCCGCTGGGTCCAGTAACCAACCTCGCTGGGGTTCAGGAATCGCTTCCCGCGTCTGGGTGGGGCTCGTCCGCGGCGACCGCCTCCCGCGTTCAGTTGGTGGGGAGGGAAGCGCCTGGAATACGTGGAATACCACGGGCCTGGGAGCGGAAGCGGGGCCGAGGCAGGCTGGGCGGTGACTGGGGGTGGGGACTGCGCTTCGCCCGGTTGGCAGCCCTCAAGGCGGACCCTGCGGAGCCACGTTCCCGCGCGCGGTGCCGCTGGACTCGGGCTGTGCAAGCGGCAGGGGTTTGGCGCGCCCAGCGCGCACCGGCCGCCAAAGGAAGCGCTTTTGCCTTGGGACCAGGCGCTAGGCTCCTGGCCCGGCCCGGGGGCGCGGCGCGCCCATGGGCAGCGCCGAGAACTGCAGCGACGGCTCGGAGGACGCGGGGGAGCCGCCGTGGGCAGAGGTGCTGCCTTGCGACGAGCGCCGTTGCTCGCCCTTCCCCCTGGGGGCGCTGGTGCCAGTGACCGCCGTGTGCCTGGGCCTGGTCGCCGTCGGGGTGAGCGGCAACGTGATGACGGTGCTGCTGATCGGGCGCTACCGGGACATGCGGACCACCACCAGCTTGTACCTGGGCAGCATGGCCGTGTCTGACCTGCTCATCCTGCTCGGGCTCCCCTTCGACCTGTACCGCCTCTGGCGCTCCCGGCCCTGGGTGTTCGGTACGCTGCTCTGCCGCCTCTCGCTCTACGTGCACCTACGCCACGCTGCTGCACATGACGGCGCTCAGCCTCGAGCGCTACCTCGCCATCTGTCGCCCGCTCCGGGCCCGCGTCCTCGTCACCCGCCGCCGCGTCCTTATGGTCATCGCCGCGCTCTGGGCCGTGGCGCTGCTCTCCGCCGGGCCCTTCTTCTTTCTGGTGGGCGTCGAGCAGGACCCCGGCCGCTACGCGGTCCAGGACCTTAACGGCACCGCTTAGCTCACCCCCTCGCCCCGCCGCCACCGCCACTCCTCGGGTCCTCGCGGGCGCCACCGCTGTCCCCGCCGTCGGGGCCCGAGGCGGCGGCGGCCGCGGCGCTGTTCAGCCAGGAGTGCCGGCCGAGCCCGGCGCAGCGGGGCGCGCTGTGCGTCATGCTGTGGGTCACCACCGCCTACTTCTTCCTGCCCTTCCTGTGCCTCAGCGTCCTCTACGGGCTCATCGGGCGGGAGCTGTGGAGGAGCCGCGGGCCGCTGCGAGGCCCGGCCACCTCCGCTCGGGAGAAGGGACACCAGCAGATGGTCCGCGTCCTGCGTGAGTGGCGCCGCCTCTGTTCCAAACACCCCAACCCACGGTCCAGGCTGTGTCGCCTTCCCCTGGTCTCCCAGCCCTCGGCGCCTCTTCTGGCCACATTTCATTCTGTCGTTCTACCCCAGCCTCCACCTGCTTCTCCTTCTAGTCTCCAGAGAAAACCATCTCCCGTCCTCCAAGGGCTCTGGGTCACCCCAGGCGTCCCCTGAGAGTGGGATATCCGGGTCCTGTAAACAGCAATTATTTCCCAAAGCCTCTGTGATCAGCGAGCTGGGCTGATCCAAGATGGATAATTGCAGGCTCTTAAGCCAACTGCCTGTCTCTGTTTGATGCTGCAGTTATGGAATTACAGAACCCTGGAGAAGACGGGATAGCTCACGTTAAGATAAAGTTTCTTTACTTAATGTTATGTTATCCTGAAGACTAAAGTGAATCATGCCCATATCAAAAAAATAAAGATTGTGCAGACTTGTTGCAGAGTTCTTTTCAACCGAAAACAGAGAACATGTCAACGAAGTGGGTTTGTGGAAGGAAGCCTGCCAGAACAGCTTGTTAGTAGAAATCACTCCTTCTGGTTTATGTCAGGCCTTGATAGTAAATGTATGAGCCGAATACTCAGCTTTAAAGCTAATATCGATGCTGTCTGCAACCTGGTAGTTTTTCTGGGGTGGGGATTTGGCTAGGCAAGAGTTTTATTTATTTTGCTTTTACTTATTATTTCAGATGGTTTCCTGGGGATGCTTATTTGTTTTCGGATGCTTTGGCTAATTCTGGCGCCTATGTCTTGTTTTGCAGTGGTGGTGGTTCTGGCGTTTATAGTTTGCTGGCAGCCTTTCCACGTTGGCAGAATCATTTACATAAATACCAAAGATTCCGGGATGATGTACTTCTATAGTACTTTAACACTGTGCCCTGCAACTTTTCTATCTGAGCGCATCCATCAACCCCATCCTCTACAACCTCATTTCAAAGAAGTATAGAGCAGCGGCCTGGAAACTGCTGCTAGCCAGGCGGTCCAGACAGAGAGGTTTCTGCAGAAGCAGGGAGGCTGGAGGGGACCCTGGAGGAGACATGGCTGGCTGCACCGAGACCAGCGCTAATGTACAGACACCAGCAACCAGCATGGCCAAACACAGCGCCTCATCCCACAGCTCTGGGACTTAAGGGAAAACAGGTCTGCAGGAAGAAAAGAACTGCGAGGGGGGAACCGAAGCTGTTAGGGAGAATTAGAAAGAGTGGTTGACATTTTGCAAGTTGGTCAGCAACTTAGCATGATTTTTTTTTTTAAACAAAGGTATGAAATGTAACTGTACCAGTCTCTCTGGTTTTCCTTTCATGTACCCCCTTGGGGACGTTCATTTTATCCTCCTGATATCCCACATCACAAAATGTTCTCTGGGGAGGCTTTGTAAGTCCTCATTCTTCTACTCTGGGGAAATATGACCACTCATTTTCCAGTTAACAAGTGATCCAGAGAGATGCTCCCGTAAAAACTGTCACCTGTGAGGTCAGAGGTGTATTTTGTTTTATGTTTTGGATATAAATGTGATGGTGCATCTACAAGGAATCCAGGATGATGAGAGTTTTAATCCAAGAAATTACTTAATGCTTATATATGACAGCAAAAAATGTTTAGAAACAAGTGAAAGGAATTCTGGGTAGAGTGCAGTGTTCAGGGGTCCCGCCTCTCTCAGGCTCAGAGCAAATCGTTAAGTTTAGGCACAGTACCCTCTTTCAGAACCTGGGTAACGAAGTCTGAGGGCAGGGAGGTGCAGCAGGATGTAGCTTCCACAAAGCGACTGTTGATCACATTGATAAGAGCTTTAATACGCCTTATTCGCCTCAGCTTGGTGGGATAAGCAATGATGGAACCAAGTCTGGGGTCTGAGTCTGAAAACTTAAGAGCCTTACCCACTCCCACCCCGAGAAGCTGCACTAACAGAAAAAATGAGAGTCAATGGATGTACTCAAGGGCGAGAGAGACTGTGCTGGACATTCTGGACAACAACTCTGTAACTCTGTTTTAGTTTTTACAGTTTAAAACATAAACCTGTTTTTGGAGGGCTCCTACTGCCTCGCTGGACTCCAAAGGGCCTCAGTCAACCCAGGGTCTTATGAATGGCGCCCCCTGGAGGTAGGCAGGATACAACTAGGTCAGCTGTAAACTACAAATGGTGACTCCATAAACAAGGGTCCGCTCCACACCTGACAAGGTCCTTTGCTTTTTCATGTGATTGACTATGTACAGTGATGCCTTCAAGTCCCCTTGAAGTGTCCTAACACCCTGGCCCTGCCCTCAACTGGTGTGGCAGTGAAGAAGTCCCCCGTCTACACTGTTTCTTCCAACTTGGGGCAGTGGTCCCTAAACTGTGTTCTGCAGATTTTCAGGGAGTATTTGAAAAAAGGATTCTGTGGTCAAATATGGCAGAAGAACAGTACATACTGTACCCACCTTCCCAAGAGTCACAACACAAAATATCCCATCAGAGGCTCTGAGAAGTTGTTGCTGGGGACACTGATGGAGGGTCTCATGGTGCAGGTGCCAGCCTTGTGCCACAGCCACTCCCCTGCTTGGTGGCACTAAGTGGGGACGTCCTGGAGATGCAACCACACAGTCTTTCTTCTCTCGGGAGTTCCTCTCTGGGACAGTCAGAAGCGGCTTCTTCCCTGTAGAAAATCATGGCTAAGAAACTTACTGATATGTTATATGTAGTATAATATTTTAGATATAGAAGCAAAGACCTCTCCTTTGAGTTTTCTTGTTCAGATTCTAGAAAAGAGGGATTTGCATCACCCTTTCCTGTGACCTAGGTGTGTTCCCAGGTGTGGGCAGAGAAGGATCATCCTTTCTTGCCACTGGGTCCCTGAGATGGAGTATCTGAATTCCATCCCTCCTGTGGATTGCTGTGCACCTGTTTTCAAAATGCCGACCTTACCCATTAGTGGATTGTGAGATGAGTGGAGTGTGTCACATGTTTCTTTATTGGATTGCAAATAGAATAGAGAATCAGTGCATCATGTGTAGTAAGGCTAACTGTTGTGTTGTGAAACTTTTGTTTCAATTATATATTGGTTGGTATCTTTCATGGTTCGTAAAATAAAATATATTCTCATTGTGGGTCATGGTCAAAAATATTTGAAAAGCTGTTCTAAGGTCTAAAATTGTTCTCTACCACAGAAGAAAGTGTCCTCTGGTGTTGACAACTGGCTATAAAGGGGAGGGGCATCCTGGGAAGACTCGGGGTGGCCAAGTCAGGGATCACTGGAGAGGGATGGCTGGGCTGTGGGCCTCCCTCCACCCTGGGGATGGTATCCTGGATGCTGTGTCTGGGACCTCTCTCTGCCCTCGGACGAAGATGTGTGCTGGGTCCCTGCAGGGCTCTTTCTGTAGGCCAAGTCGCTTTTTTTAGGTGAGGCACCAACCTTGGGGAAGGGTTTGTGTTTCATTCATTCACTCCACAAATATTCACCAAGCAACTGCTAAGTGCTAGACGTGTATGTCAAAATACTCTAGAAACATTAGTACATGTCATGGTGTTGAAATCAACCAAATTTTTAATGGTCTTTTTTGCCTTGAAATGTGTGATTGTTCATCTAGACTAACCTCAGATTCAGCTCACAGGCCAATAAAAGCACTCACATCGGACGGACCTGCAGAATTTCAGGTTAGTGTCATCTACACGACTTCCCTCCACCTTTCTATAGGAGACTTTCCCACTTCTGAAGCAATTGCACAGCACCTCCGAGGACCCAGGAGTCCAGGGGACATGAGAGCAATGTGTTGATGATGTTTGAAAGTCTGAACATGGCCTCTCCTACAATTTCTACCCAAGTAACAGTAACATTTGCTAGTATGTGGAACCATTCACATATAAGTATTAGTGATTGTACAAGTGTTTTAAGTGGAGCTTTAATAAAAGGCTTTTCATAAATGTGGGGCCATTTTCTATTGTGAGCCAACTTTCTAAAGATTCAGAACTCTAAATATTACAAAGAACCTAGTCAGCTCTGAGCAGCCATCCAAAATCAGCATCCCTGCTCCTAGGAGCACAGGAACCTTTGTCATTGAGAGGCGTGTGCTCTGTGGGTGGCATGCTTTGTGGCAGTCACTCAGCATGTCCCTCACTCTGTGTAAGCTACAAGGAGGTGACAGAGGTAGACTCTACTGGCCACAAGGAGGTGACAGAGGTAGACTCTACTGACCACCTTCTTAGGAAAACAACACACGCACTTTCGAAAGATTAGCAGATGCTTGTGTCATAAGGGGCCAAAAAGTGCCATCCGGACCAGGAGAGCTGAGTGTGGGCAGTCAGGCAATGCTCTACGTGAATCTTTTTCACGGCACTTGGTCCGTCACGTCTTGGGGACTGGTTCCCAGAGTTTGTAACTTGCTCCCTAAGGACAGACTGTGCTTTATTCCCCTTGGCATCTCTTGCCCACAGGTAGATATGTGTTGAACTCAAGTGGACAGGAATCTTCACCCCAGTGGGTGGACAGAGATGGAGGCTGAGTAAGCAGATGACTGGGACCTCCATTCTGAGCCATCGGTCAGCCAGAGGGAGAGCACAGGACGGGGCGAAAATGGCACACAGGGGACGTGGGTGCTGAAGGGAGGAGAGGACAGGGCTCTGAGGAAGAGAGGAGAGAGGCAAGGGCACTGGTGTAATCAGGAGTTGGAGCCTCCAAAGCAAATGAAGCAGGGTCTGGGAAGGCTGAGCCTGGGAGGCCAGCTGGGACCAGTTAGGTACTGTAATCCAGGCACAGGGCACTCGTGGGGTAGAGTGGTGACACTGGATCAGTAACACAACCAGGTTCAGCACCTCCCATCACCAAGACGCCGGCAACCTCGTGGCCTCAGAACAGGGAGCATCCCTTTCCCCATCCTCAATCCCCAGTGCCAGGCATCCCCACCTTATTTTCCTGCATCTGTGCCTTTGCGCCCCACCCCAGCTCAGGCAGGCCCACAGCATGACGGGTCCAGTAATGACATCTCCTTTCCCTCATCTTTGCAGTGAGTGTGCAAGTCTCGAAAATGTTCCAATAATTCCTATGACTTATGATGATACAGAGATAAAAAAAAACTTAAAAAAAATTTTTTTTGAAAACCTGCAGTTTTCAAAGTCGTGGTGTCTTAATTTTACTGTAATGGTTATATCTGTTCATAACTGGAACATACATAGGGCTCCACGTGATCTCTCTTTCTGTCTTACTTCCGCAATAATTCATTACTTTGTCATTACAGTGATTATTAGCGCCCTTCCCTCAGGCTTTTTATTCCCCTCTGTAATTCTCTACAGCAGTGGCTCCCAAACTTTGGCACGCGTGAGAATCACCTGGAGGGAGAGTTAAAACACAGCTTGCTGGGCCTCATCCCCAGAATTCCAGATTCCGCGGGTCTGGGCTGGGACCCGAGAACGTGCCTTTCTCTCAAGTTCCCGGGTGATGCTGATTCTGATGGTCTGAGGACCACCCTCTGGGAGCCTCTACGTAGATGGCTGCTACAGAAAATGTGAGCCACAGAGCAGTGGCATGCGCGTTACCTGGCGCCTTGTTAACATGCAGACTTTCAGGCCCCACCCCGGAGCCTTCTGAGTCAGAACCTGAATTTTAACAAGAGCCCCAGGCGCCTCCGACGCACATTAAAGTTTGAGAAGCACCAGTCGAGAGGCTAGACCGACGGCATCAGAATCTCTGGGGGTTGAACCCAGACGTGGTTTTTACAGCTCCTCAGGCGATTCCAATGTGCAGACAAGACTGCGAACCATCAGTAGGCTCTCCCTCATCGAAATCTCTTCCATTCTCGCTCCACCCTCTTCCCCCGCCCCACCCCTTTCCTCCCTTTCCCCGTATTTACCTCAGGATAAAGGAAAAGATACGAAGCCAGTAAACAAAGATACTGCAGGTGGCTTTGGGCGGTGGATCCATGGGAAAGTCATTTATATTCCAGCAGAAACTGTGGAATGACTGTGGTCCGGCGATGGGTCCCTGACTCCTCAGCACCCCCGGTCCCCTTAACGTCTCCCGCCCACGCCGAGGTCCTTCCACGCACGGGCCAGGCTGCGCCCACGCCTCCTCGACTGCTCCCTTCTGTCACCAGGCCTCCACCCCGTTTCCTGCTCTTCTAGACATCTTCTATTCTTCCTTTCCCTCAAGTCCTGACTGGCTCCTTGCGCTCTTCCTCCATTCCTCCAGAAAAGGCCTTCTCAGCTCTTCCTGGGGCCTTCTCGGAGGTGAGACCCCATGTCACCTGTGGCCCTGGGGGGCAGCCCCAGGACTTGTGCCTGGTGCTGGTTACTGAGGTCAGCCGGGCGGACGGGCCGGGCTGCGGGTCCCAGGGAGCGGGCCTTGACTCTGCGAAGTCTCAACAAGAGCTTTGCTTCACGCTCCAAAGTCACGTCAGGTCTCCAACCTTTCAACGTTATCGTAACTGAGTCCCTAAAACTCAGAGGCTGACTGCATAGGGAGAAGAGGAAGTCAGAACTCCAACATTTGAGGTCTGTTTGAAAGGAAAGGGAGGCCAGAAGCCCGGGTGCTTGGCGCAACGAGCGGCGCGGGGCGTGCGCGCCGAGGTCTGCCGTCTGCGCCTGCGCGCGCAATCTCTGCGGCGGCCCGGGCCTTGGGGACGCTGGCCCTGCGGGGAGCCGCGCCCAGTCCCAGCTCCGCTCTCCGCGCGTCAATTCACAGGCGGACGTGGACAGATCACAACAGAAAACGGTGTTGCAGCAGCGGGAATCAGCAATTTTGCACAGGGAGCTTTGAGAGATGTTGCATACTGTAATCTGCCTGAAGTTGGGACAAAATTGAACAAACGAGGAGTTTGGTGCTTTAGAAAGTTTGAAAGCTGCTTGTCTGCTCTTCTTCCTCCATCAGAAGTAACTGAAATTAATGAAGCTCTGGCAGAAAATCCAGGACGTGTCCAAAAAATCTTGTTATGAAGATGATTGGCGGATCAATGTGACACTCAGTAACCCTTCAGAACTAGATGAACTAATGAGTGAAGAAGCGTATGAGAAACACATAAAATCTATTGAGTGAAAATGGAACCCCTAAATAAACTAGTATGAAACAATCTAGCATAGTTGTCTTAAATTAGTTGTGGATAGATTTTTTAAAAAGCAACTTGTAGCAAAGGAAACTACTTGCAACATGTTACCAGAATACCCCCTAACTTCCTAATGACTGCAGATAAACACTATGCATCTTTTCCACAGCACCCTATGATTTTTAGGCTAGGCTCCAGTTTACAATACTCAGAATTCCTGAAATTATCTGTAGTAAAACTAGTTATAAAAATTATGTAATTCAAAGATAACATTGTTATATTAAGCCTTATAACAGTTTACAGTCATCCCTGGATTGGGTCAAAATACTTGATGAGGGCTTCCCTGGTGGCGCAGTGGTTGAAAGTCCGCCTGCCGATGCAGGGCACACGGGTTCGTGACCCGGTTCCGGAAGATCCCACATGCCGCGGAGCAGCTGGGCCCGTGAGCCATGGCCGCTGAGCCTGCGCTTCCGGAGCCTGTGCTCCTTAACGGGAGAGGCCGCAGCGGTGAGAGGCCCGCGTACTGCAAAAAAAAAAACCAAAAAAACCCCCCAAAACTTACTGATCTTCCCATTGGAAATAACTGGAGGTGGAGAAAAGTTTTTGTTAGTTGTACAGTGTCAGATGAAGAACAATACTATCTTAATTTTGCAACATACTGTGTTTGCTGGTGCTATTTTTATACAGTGAAGCTACAGCCTTGCAGGAAAATAAGAAAGTTTAATAATAAAATATTCAACTTAAAAAAATTAAAAAGAAATAGGCTGTAGAGGTGGTTTAGCAGGGGACAATAATGAATTCCTTTTTTTTTTTTTAAATTGAAGTATAGTTGATTTACAATATTGTTAGTTTGAATTCCATTTCAATGCATCTCTTTTCCAGTGACGCCGTCCTGTTGTTGCATCCTCCCACAACCACTGGGAAATAGGTCCCAATAGTCAAATCTTAAGAAATGCTGCAATACCATGGAAACTGGTTTTTTTTTGGGGGGGGGGGGAGGGCAGGGAATTCCCCCATGGAAATTCTTTTTGACCATAGAGCTATGTTTTTTTTTCCTCCCATTTTGTAACATTCCACAAAACACTCCAGTTTGAAATACCAGAGGGAAGTGTGGGTATAAAATCAGGGCTAATGATAAAGATTGGGGAGTCAACAGCTTAAAAGTGATCATTTAAACAAGTGGTTCTCAAACTTTAGCGTGCATCAGAACAACTGAGGGGCTTCTTAAAACACAGATTGCTGGGCCCCACCCCAGAAGACCTGATTCTGTATGCCTGGGTCCGGGCCTGAGAATGTGCATTTCTGTCTGGTTTCCAGGTGATACTGCAGCTGCTAGTCCAGGACCACACTTGGAGAGCCACTGATGTAAGTGACAGGAATAGATGACCTCTCCAAGGAGAAAGCTGAGAGAGAGAAAAGAAGAGGCTTAGGGTTACATGCTGATGTTACAGCACAGGCTGGAGAACTCAACTGAACCAGGCAGGAGGAGCAGAAAAAGGGAAAGTGATGAATTGATACTACCCAAAGGAAGAGAGTTTCAGGGATCAAGTACCCAGAGGATACAAAGAGAATGAAGTAGGGTTATTAGATAAAATACAAGATTACTAGTTCAATTTGGATGAACAACAAATGATTTTTTTAGTATAAGTTTAATAAGTATACAAATGATGTACTTAATCCCAATTTACATGACTCGACTTATGATTTTTCGACTTAATGATGGTGTGAAAGTGGTACATGTTGTATAGAAACCATACTTTGAATTTTGAATTTGATCTCTTCCCGGGCTACCTATGTGCAGTATGATCCTCCCTCGTGATGCTGGACAGCAAGCCATAGCTCCCAGTCAGACCGTGATCACGACAGTAAACAATCTGTACACTTACAACAATTCTGTACCCAGACAGCTATTGTTTTTCCCTTTCAGTACAGTATTCAATAAATTACGCGAGATATTCAATAACTTATTATAAGATTGCCTTTGTGTTAGATGATTTTGCCCAACTATAGGCTAATATAAGTGTTCTGAGCACATTTAAGGTAGGCTAGGCCGGGCCATGATGTTCAGTAGGTTAGGTGTGTTAAATGCATTTTTGACTTATGATGTTTTAAATTTATGATGGGTTTATCAGGACGTAACCCCATCACAAGTCAGGGAAGATCTGTCCTAAAAATATCATTCGTTATTTATCTGAAATTCAAATTTAACTGGACATTGTATTTTTATTTGTTAAATCTGGTATCCCTAAAGGAAGGGTAATGGAAAGGCCCCAGGATTTGGCAAAAGGAAGGAACTTGGAGAACCTTTCAATGGAGTGTTGAGGGCAGGAGCCAGAAGCTGCTAAGTTACAGAGGAAATGGCTGTGGAACAGGGCTGAGGTGGTCCTGCCTTGGGGCTTCCATGAAAAGGGATCCCAGCAGCTGAGTAAAGGGCTTTGCTGCTGGTTCTGCCCTAACTGTACCCCAGGCCAAGAGCCAGTCTCTCTTGCTGTGGCTTGTGCCCAAGCTCCTGGGAGCACGGGGCACTTGTGTGCTGAGTATTTGCAACTCGCACTGATGTTCTTAAATCACAAAACTGAAGAAATGTGTCTGATTCAGAACCACCTGAAACAGAGTATGTAATCAAAATGTGTTGAACTGAACGCATTTAATTTATATATAATCCATTCCTGGCAACTTTGAAAGGCCTTATTTAGTTTTCTTTCTGCAAAGGTGTGGAGTAAAATAAAATTTTGTTAAGTGACCGATTAATTCACAAGGTTGAAGGGGGGGATTCTCATTCTGGAAAAATGTATCTCTGTGTGACAACTGAGACCACAGATAATGAAGTAATATTTAACTGTATGTATAGAATCTGGCACCATGCCCAGCACGTAGTAAGGACTTAATAAAAGTACTTGTATGTGTATAGAAGATACTACACATTTTGAGCAGGGAGAAAGACTGATTTCTTAAAAAGTTAGTGCATTGCAATATGATAATTGAATGTTTAATTACATAATTATTGCAATGTATTTATAATAATAAAATGTACTTGGCACACCGTTCAGCATGTGGTAATCCTCAGTGTGAGCTAGCATTATTGTCCTCAGTTCATATGCTACTAACTTTCCCTCGTTAGAAAGAATCACTCTTTCTCCCTGTCAAGAATGTCCTCCATACACACAGTGGAGCCTGATCGTGGAGTAGTGATGTGGTCAGGTATATATTGTGTCCAGTGAACTGCTTTCCAAAATGAAAGTCCTGCCCACTCAGCTTTTACAGAAATATTCCCAGGGTATCTATACACTCTGCTCTTCATGGAAAGTCAGGGCTTGTTATTGTTATTGCATTAAGAACACCTGAGGAAGGCCGTTCTCTTTTTCAACAGTCGCTGCAGCTGCTTATAGGATTTGACAATGTAATAGCTGCCATTTTTAGAGCGTGGAAAAAGGTATACTAACTGAAGGAAATGGGACTTCTTCAATAGGCAGGAGGATATTGTGCTTTTGAAATGTAAGTGGAGCTCTTGTAAGCCTTTGTTTTATATAAAGACAGTATAAAGAATGACACAGGCTGGAGGGAATAGCTTTATAGCTGGTCAAGCATTTGTGCTCTGTAGTATGTTAACAGATTTCTATTTCATTGGTTTCATTTGTCCTTCTTAAAAATGTCCCATCTTAACAAGAGCTGTTGGGGAAAAAAAATCCAGCGACAAACTTCTGGCATCTTCTTGGCAGCCAGCTGCTCGACTACTGTGTCACATTCAAAAATGAAGTGATGGAAAACAGGGAGTTTTATTATGATTTCTGGTTTGAGGAAGCCACAGATTTGGTCACTAAACACGATATTCAAATGAAACTTTGTGGGAAGTTCTGCAGGGCTTGCCAAGGTAACCTAGAATCTCAACTAACCTTTGAGGTTATTATAAACAATGTTCCAACAGTGGAGGACATTATTCAGCAAGTTGGAGAAAGATTCCCAGATCAGCACCTCAAAGCCCTCACATTAAGACACGGATCATCTCCAGCTCAACATGTCAGAGGAGCACTGTGCCAACACGTATAGAGTGACTTACCAATCCTGACACTCTGTGGAGATTCATTCCCAGAGGCTCAAGTGGAAAAAGAGGAAAAGATAAAGTGCTTCTGTCCACAATTTATGATGCTCTACAGCTGCCTGATATTTATGTATTTTTCCTAATGCTTCCGTATTGCTTAAGGTCCTGTGGATTCTTCCCAGGATGAAGATGGAGAGGAAGCACGAATGCAAGCATCACAAAACACACTCCCAAACACTGACTCAACAGAGGTCAAGTCACGGGGCTTTGTGAACGTAACTCTTAATACAAAACATGATCTGGATTTCATGAGACACACACAGAAAACTCTACACAATGTGTCAGAGCTTCCTAAAGTAATTCAGAAATCACTGAAAATATCCAAGAGAATTTTTAAAGGTGCCTTTTATTGGTTTATTAGGAGGCAAAGTTGTAAGGTACATGCAGGCCACTTAGTCATTGAAGGTAAATTTGCCAACAGGCCTCTCACCAAATCCATCAGCCACTGACCACTCACCTGTTGAACAGCCACAATCTGAACTTGCAGACTTTGAAGACTTCTGTGTTCTCCCAGAAGACGGTATGGAAAGTGCTGCTTTGAGATTCCCCCCTGGTGGCATAATGGCAGGGCTGAAGTCATTTGGGACATGATGTTTATTATCATTGATCTAATGACCAGGATTTGAGTTATCAGTTCTTTGAAGAAATAAATGTTGAGGAGGTAGGGAGTGAAAAGGGAGGAGAACACATTTATAAAGCGCAATGGTGCTTCTGACTTAAGTACATTATGTTTGGAGTATGTTGTTAAAAATCTGTAATGGCTGGTTGTGGAAGTTACCAGAAAGTGACAGAAGCCATGTGCTCACCTGAAGAGGATTTCAGTGTAGGCTTTGTCCTCAAGGGAATGTAAGTCCACCGAACTGGACATCAGCTTTTTAGCAGATGTACCATGAACACTGTTTCACAGGCAAGACAGAATCTGAGTTCGGAGACATTGATGACTGATTTGTCTGGTTTTGCCTGTTTTCCTTTGGGTGTTTTTCCATGAACATATCTGCTTCCTCATCTTGATTTATATGCATAACCAGGAAAACTGGTCTTCTTGCAAAAACAGGAGTTTTGTGGTTTACCTAGGAAGAATACAGAAAATATTGCTTTCTTATTGGTGAAGATGAACAATTTTGCGGTTTATTTCAATCTAATAAAATGTGGATTTTGTTTCAAAAACAAAACAAAAAAGTAGCACTGTAGAGTAACTGTCTAGAGTTCTTAGGCGGGATGAGGTGAGATAGGTGGGATGCACATGTCAGCCAAGAACATTCACCTTTGGTCATACAAGTGACCATCTAAATGTGAGTACCTTATGTTTAAGTTGGTGTGTTAAGATATCACGTGTTGTTTTCTAAATATGCAGATACCAGCTTCACTTCCCCTTCATCCTCAAGGCACATTGAACTAAAGAATCCTCAAATTTCAACATTCTCTTTTTTCTTTTTTAGTGAATTAATTAATTTATTTATTTTTGGCTGCATTGGGTCTTCGTTGCTGCACACGGGCTTTCTCTAGTTGCGGCGAGCGGGGGCTGCTCTTCGTCGCGGTGCGCGGGCTTCTCATTGCGGTGGCTTCTCTTGTTGCAGAGCACAGGCTCTAGGTGCATGGGCTTCATTAGTTGTGGCACATGGGCTCAGTAGTTGTGGCTCATGGGCTCATTAGTTGCGGCTCACAGGCCCTAGAGCACAGGTTCAGTAGTTGTGGCACGTGGGCTCAGTAGTGTGGCAAACGGGCTTAGTTGCTCCGTGGCATGTGGGATCTTCCCAGACCAGGAATCGAACCTGTGTCCCTGCATCGGCAGGTGGATTCTTAACCACTGCGCCACCAGGGAAGTCCTGAACATTCTTTTTGATTTAAATGAATTTGTATTCCAAAAAGGACAGGAGACAATTTACAAAAATGCCCCCAAATAAGACAAACATTAAGGAAATGGAGAAAGTAGAAACTAAGTAAAAACTAGTGTAGGTAACATAAGATTATAACACCAGAGAGAAAGTGAGGACACGAAACTCATGCCTTGGTGTCTGGTTAGGAAGGTCACATGATTCACAGGAGACAGGAGAGTTTATCCTGTGGGGACTCCAAGATGACATCCTATAAGCTAGAAAACCGTAATAATCTTTACAGCATAATAATAACCAACAGTAATCCTTACAGCAATCAGCACTGAGTACCATGGGGCTTTTTCTCATCAGGCCAATGAGAAAAGTTATCCCACACTTGGAAAATGATAGAAGGTGATTACTTGATTTTTTTAAATGCCTTTTCTGTTATTAGAAAATAATATGGCTGCTTGAGTAAAAGCAGGACCTTGTCAAATGGAACTCTCACTTGATATTCTCGGGGAAGGCAAATTTGTTGGCACGCCTTTTTTTTTTAAATTAATAACACAAATGATAAAAAACAGTGACAATTTATAGCCTGTGAGATGAGAGGTTTGCAGAAACTGATAAAGTATTAGGATTTTATAGCCTGGTAGAAAAGTTACCCCAAAGGTGTTATGGTTTAATCAGCCTGAAGAAAGTTAACTAGGCATATGGTATGGAGGGGGTTCAGAACAGGCTGCCCTAAAAAGTACCACTTTCACATGTGGATTATTTTGAACTGAAAGCAGTCAAGGCCCAGCAGACTCAGAAAAAGCTTTTTACCTCCCTCTTAACTGCCTAAAAGAAATTAGAAAGGGGCCCTGTATGAGGAAGAGAGCTATTACCCAATATCACTTTTTCTTCTGAGAGACTTATCTGCACCTCCGGCAAACATCTGTTCACCAAACATCTGCTCTTCTCCTCTTCCCATGAATGACCCTCCTCCATTTGAAGGCCCAGACCCTTGTCCCTTTTCTCAGCTCAGGGTGGTATATAAGCCTCAGTTGCCTGGCTGCCTTTTGAGTCTCCTATCTTTGCGGCTCTCCCTTACATAGTAATTAAAATGGTTTTTCTTTTGTTAATCTGTATTTTGCTACAAGGGCGTCTCAGCCAAGAACCTAGAAGAGTAGAGGGGAAACTGTTTTTCCTCCCCTACAGTATGAGCTATTTTACTTAGTCCTCTCCTTTCCAAATGTTAAGATCCCCATTCTTCAAATCCGCTCTGCACTAGGGCATGCTGCCATCACCAGAGGCTCCCTTGGTTCTGAGTTAAAGGAGGGGGAGTTGATTGAGTTTTACTGGAAAACAAACACACTGATTTGTTTACGTACTGACCATGGCTGCTTCTGTGACATGACAGAGACCCAGTGGCCCACACAGAGTAAAATATCTACAGTTTGGGCCTTTACAGAAAAAGTCTGTCAACCCCTGAATTAAAATGAAACTTTGACTCCTGTTCCTAAACTGGTATGAAAATTTTGCTTTTCAATATCAGCTAATGTTGGTAGATGATGTGATGCCAAAAACAACTTATGGAAGCAACTCTACAGAGGGCCAAAATACTGCTGCTAAATACCAGGGACTCAGCATCTCCAAGGGTGGGTGGGGCCCAGGAATCCAGGTTTTAACACGGTCTCTGGGCGACTCACATGCACGTGCAAGTTTGGGACTCGCTGGGCCCTCTGGTCTAGACCGGTGGTTCTGTCCAGATTCTGCCTCAGTAGGTTTGAAGTGGGGCCAAAGATTTTGCATTTCTAACAAGCTCCTGAGTGATGCTGATGTTGCTGGTCCAAGGGCCTTAGTTTCTTGCCTGTAAATTGGAGATGATGAAAATCTATATCATCGGGTTGTTGTGAGTATTAAATGAAGTGATGAACATATATATCCTGCTCCCACCCCTCTCAAGCTGTGTCTGCTTGATCAAGGTACTCAGTGTCTTGGTTCTTATAAGCAGGGATAATAATAAAAATACCCACTTCATAATAAGGTTGCGGAAAGGAGTAAATGAGATAATATATGTAAAGTAGCTAGAACGGAGCCTGGAACATAGTAAATGCTGAGTAATATAAGATACCATTATTATTACTATCATCATTGTTACATAAGCTGACTGATGCAAGCAGCTATTCCATCAGCATTAGTTTCCTCTCTATTTCCTCTTACCTGTCCTCTCATCCCTACCCCTCCCTCCAAATTCTGTTGATTTCTGACATGTCTAATTAGAGAACCTCTTCAGGCTGCTGATTCAGAAATGCCCAAACCCAGTCCAGAGCATGCCACATTAATGGGGACCCTGACCCCATTTGGACCGTGGTATCAGGCCCAGTGCCTGCCCACTCCCAGGCTGCCTATGGTAGAGTGACCCAGGGTAACATAGGAAGTGGGCTTGCCTGTCCTTCCCATCTCATGGGGCACAGACGTTCTCAGGGTTCCTGGACAGTCTTACTTTGTAGCACATTAATCTATGTGGCACCAAGTTTACTTTTCTGGGGACACCATTAGGGACAATATATGGAAAACCCGAGAAGTCATTTCTCTTTGGCAGCACTGCCCTCCATAACAAAGCAAACGTTCCATGAAGGGTATCTGGATTTTGTTTTGGCTTCTCTTTGCTTCTTTGGGGTTTTAGCGCTGCCAGGAACTGCCTTCCAAGAACTGCTTGGGAAACCTTAATTTCTGGATTCAGGGTGGTGTTTATAGTTACATCTTTGCCTGAAATGACCAAATTAGGGCCAATCCTTTGTACAAGGGTGCACTGGCCACCAGGAGTCCCTATTGGTCCTGTGGCCGCCTTATCTCCAGGCATGCAGAAGACATGGTCACCGGTCATGTGTGCCTTCCACGTACGAGAGCAAGACCGAGTGTGAGGTACATTTTCTTCTACAAGCCAGGTATTCAGTCTCTGCCAAACATCACCAGTATCAACAAATCCAGTATAGATTCTATGTATGGATGATGAGTTCCATGGGACCTCAGCTTGTTTTGCTGTGAAAGGATTCTGTCCAAATAAACACACTGCTAAGACCAAGATTCCCAACCAACAGGACCTAGAATAAAAGGAAAAGATCTGGGTTATCTATAGAGAATAAGCAAATGAAACACAAAGTGGGGAGGGATACTAATTAATGATGCTGAGCACCTATTCTTTGCAGGAGCTGTGCTACTTGGAATCATTTAGTTTTCAAGAAAATTTGTGATAAACATATATCCCTCCCTCCCTTCCTCCATCCCCTCTATCCGTCCCTCCTTCCTTCTTTTCTCCCTCTCTGAATAATTCAGTCAAAAAACCATTTGACAGGACTTCCCTGGTGGTCCAGTGGTTAAGACTCTGCACTTCCACTGCAGGGGGTGTGGGTTCAATCCCTGTTAGGGAAGTTCCACATGCTGCACAGTGTGGCCAAAAAAAAAAAAAAACAAAGCCATTTGACAACCTCTCCGCCCCTCCTTTTCCCCTCCCTTCCCTTCCCTTGAAGGCAGAAGGGGCTGTAGAGGCAGCAGCACAGGGGCTGGGAAGCCAAGGAGGTAGCCACTGTGCTAGGGAGATTGGTCACATAGTGGGAATTGAGTGGGGGAAAAAAAAACTATATTGAGAATAATGGGAGCCAGGTTTCCTGCTGTTTGGAGAAGAGATTTGCAAGTATGGCAAGGGGGAAGGCTAGAAAAAACCCTGGTGTGCTAGACTGGAATTGAAGGTATTGGTGTGAACTCTTTTAGACAGTTAGCTAGCTAGCTATTGAGCGAGATCCAGTTATATGAGTGTGTGTACATGTATTTATACACACATATATAGATATAAATGTTTTGTAGATCTAGTCTCTCAGAGGGTCTAGTGGTAATGACATACCAGTAGCAATGAGCACACTTACTGCCTAGATCTTAAGTTTTTAAACACTAAGGAGCGGGGGATTGGAAACAAGATGGTGGAGTAGAAGGCCCTTGAGCTCACCTCAAGGTCTCATGACAACATCAAGAACACAACTAACTGCTGAACAGCCATCAATAAAAGAGACTGGAACCTACTAAAAAAAATATTCTACATCCAAAGACATAAAAAAGAAACCAAATGAGACAGTAGGAGGGGCGCACATGTGATCTAATCAAATGCTATACCTTCCGGATGAGCAACCTACAAACTGAAGAATAATTATATCACAGAAGTCTTCCCACAAGAGGAAGAGTTCTGAGCCCCATGTCAGGCTCCCCAGCCTGAGGGCCTGGCATGGGGAGGATGAACCCCCGGAGCATTTGGCTTTGAAGGTCAGTGGGGCTTGATCACAGGAGCTCCACAGGACTGGGGGAAACAGAGACTCTACTCTTGGAGGGTGCACACAAGGTCTCATATACACTGTGACCCAGGGCAAAAGCAGTGACTTCATAGGAGTCTGGGCCAGACCTACATGCTGGTCTCAGAGGGGGTTGGGGGGAGGGTGGCCATGGCTCTCTCTGGAGTCATAAAAGCCAGTGGCAGAAATATCAGAGAGTGTTCATCTACTTGAACTCTTGTTGGAGGCAAACATCTTGCTTGGGTAATTAGCACCAAGATCTGGCTCCATCCAGAGCCTGTAGGCTCCAGTGCCTCAGGCCAAACAACCAACAGGGCGGGAACACAACCTATCCATCAGCAGACAGTCTCCCTAAAGACTTCCTGAGCCCACAGCCACATTTAGACATGCCCTGAGACATGGCCATGCCCATCGGAAAGCCAAGAACCAGCTCCATCCACCAGTGGGCAGGCACTGACCCCTCCCACCAGGAAGCCTGCACAAGCCTCTAGACCAGCCTCAACCACCAGAGGGCAGACACCAGAAGCAAGAAAACTACAATCCAGCAGCCTGTGGAACTGAGTCTGCAAAGGCAAGTCAGAACCTACCCTGGGACCAGCTGGTCATTGGCCCTTAGATGACAAGAGGGGAGTGCACTGCTGGGACATATAGGACATCCCCTACAGACGGCCACTTTTCCAAGGTCGAAAAACATAACATTCCACATACATAAAAATACAAATAGAAATTGAGACAAAATGACATGGCAGAGGAATATGTTTCAGATGAAGGAACAAGATAAAACCCCAGAAGAACAACTAAGTGACATGGAGCTAGACAATCTACCCAAGAAAGAGTTCAGAGTAATGACTGTGAAGATGATTCAAGAACTTGGGAAAAGAATGGATGCACAGAGGGAGAAGTTACAAGAAGTTTTGAACAAAGAGTTAGAAAATATAGAGAGCAACCAAACCGAGTTGAAGAATACAATAACTGAAATGAAAAATACACTAGAAGGAATCAATAGCAGAATAAATGAGGCGGAAGAATGGGTAAGTCATCTGGAAGACAGAGTGGTGGAAATCAGCCATGGAACAGAATAAAGAAAAAAGAATGAAAAGAAATGAGGACAATCTAAGAGACCTCTGGGACAATGACAAACACACCAACATTCACATTATAGGGGTCTCAGACGCAGAAGAGAGAAAGAAAGAGCCTGAGAAAATGCTGGAAGAGATAATAGCTGAAAACTTCCCTAACATGGGAAAGGAAACAGTCACCCAAGTCCAGGAAGCACAGAGAGTCCCAGGCAGGATAAACTCAAGGAGCAATACAGTGAGACACAGTAATCAAATTGAAAAAAAATTAAAGATAAAGAGAAAACATTAAAGGCAACAAGGAAAAGCAACAAATAACATACAAGGGAAACCCATAAGGTTACCAGCTGATTTTTCAGCAGAAAGTCTGCAGGCCAGAAGGGAGTGACATCATATATTTAAAGTGATGAAAGGGGAAAACCTATAACTAAGAGTACTCTACCCAAGTAAGACTATCATTCAGATTTGATGGAGAAATCAAAAGTTTTACAGACAAGCTAAAGCTAAAAGAATTCAGCACCACCAAACCAGCTTTACAACAAATGCTAAAGGAACTTCTCTAGGTGGAAAAGGCTGCAACTAGAAACAAGAAAACTATGAGAAGACCTAAATAGACACTTCTCCAAAGTAGACATAAAGATTGCCAACAAACACATGAAAAGATGCTCAACATCACTAATCCTTAGAGAAATGCAAATCAAAACCATAATGAGGTATCACCTCACACCAGTCAGAATGGCCATCATCAAACTCTAGAAACAATAAATGCTGGAGAGGGTGTGGAGAAAAGGGAACCCTCTTGCACTGTTGATGGGAATGCAAATTGATAAAGCCACTATGGAGAACAGTATGGAGGTTCCTTAAAAAACTAAAAATAGAATTACCATATGACCCAGCAATCCCACTACTGGGCATATACCCTGAGAAACCATAATTCAAAAAGATACCACAATGTTCATTGCAGCACTATTTACAATAGCCGGGACACTGAAGCAACCTAAATGTCCATCGACAGATGAATGGCTAAAGAAGATGTGGCACATATATACAATGGAATATTACTCAGCCATAAAAACGAACGAAATTGAGTTATTTGTAATGAGGTGGATGGACCTAGAGTCTGTGATACAGAGTGAAGTAAGTCAGAAAGAGAAGAACAAATACTGTATGCTAACGCACATATATGGAAACTAAAAAAAAACGGTACTGATGAACCTAGTGGCAGGGCAGGAATAAAGATGCAGACGTAGAGAACAGACTTGAGGACAGCAGGGGAAGGGGAAACTGGGATGAAGTGAGAAAGTAGCATTGATATACATACACTACCAAATGTGAAATGGATGGCTAGTGGGAAGCTGCTGCATAGCACAGGGAGATCAGCTCAATGCTTTGTGACGACCTAGAGAGGTGGGAGGGAGGCTCAAGACAGAGGGGATATGAGGATATATGTATACATATAGCTGATTCACTTTGCTGCACAACAGAAACTAACACAACATTGTAAAGCAATTATACTCCAATAAAGATATAATAAAATAAAAAAAGAGAAAACTATTAAATGGGAAAACTACCAGTAAAGGCAAACATACAGTAAAGGTAGGAAATCATCCACACACAAAAGTGATATATAAACCAGTAATCCTGAGAGAAGAAAAGTACAAATGCAGGATATCTGAAATGCATTTGAAATTGAGAGATCAGCAACTTAAAACAATTATGTATATATAAACTGCTATATCAAAACCTCATGGTAGCCACAAACCAAAAGGCTATAATAGATATACATATAAAAAAGAAAAAGGAACCTAAACACAGCACTAAAGATAGACATCGAATCACAAGAGAAGAGAACAAAAGAGGAAAGGAAGAAAAAAGACTTACAAAAACAAATCCAAAACAATTAACAAAATGGCAATAAGAACATACATATTGATAATTACCTTAAATGTAGACAGATTAAATGCTCTATTTCCAAAAGACATAGACTGGATGAATGGATACAAGAACAAGACCTGTATATATGCTCTCTACAAGAGACCTGCTTCAGATCTAGAGACCCACAGAAACTGAAAGTGAGGGTATGGGAAAAGGTATTCCATGCAAATGGAAATCAAAAGAAAGCTGGAGTAGCAATACTCATATCAGACAAAATAGACTTTAAAATAAAAACTATTACAAGAGTCAAAGAAGGACACTGCATAATGATAAAGGGGGATCAAATCAAGAAGATTTGATTTGGGGATCAAAGGGGGATCAAATCAAGAAGAAGATAACAACAATTGGAAATATATGTGCACCCAACATAGGAGCACCTCAATATATAAGGCAAATGTTAACAGACATAAAAGGAGAAATTGACAGTAACACAATAACAGTGGGGAATTTAACACCCCACTTACATCAGTGGACATATTATCCAGACAGAAAATCAATAAGGAAACACAGGCCTTAGATGACACATTAGACCAGATGGACTTAATTGATAGTTATAGAGCACTCCATCCAACAGCAGCAGAATACACATTCTTTTCAAGTGCACATGGAACATTCTCCAGTATAGATCACATGCTGCGCCACAAAGCAAGCATTGGTAAATTTAAGAAAACTGAAATCAAGCATCTCTTCCAAATACAACATTATGAGATTAGAAATCAACTACAAGGGACTTCCCTGGTGGCGCAGTGGATAGAACTCCACACTCCAGGGGGAGGCTGGGTTTGATCCCTGGTCAGGGAACTAGATCCCACATGCATGCCGCAACTCAGAGTTCACATGCCGCAACTAAGGAGCCCGTGAGCTGCAACTATGAATCCTGTGAGCCGCAACTAAGACCTAGTGCAACCAAATAAATAAATATTTTTTAAAAAATCAACTACAGAGGGGCTTCTCTGGTGGCGCAGTGGTTGAGAGTCTGCCTGCTGATGCAGGGGACATGGGTTCGTGCCCCGGTCCGGGAAGATCCTACATGCCGCAGAGCGGCTAGGCCCGTGAGCCATGGCCGCTGAGCCTGCACGTCTGGAGCCTGTGCTCTGCAACGGAGAGGCCACAACAGTGAGAGGCCTGCGTACCACACACACACACACACACAAATCAACTACAGAAAAAAACTGCAAAAAACACCAACACGTGGAGGCTAAACAACATGCTACTAAACAACCAATGGATCGCTGAAGAAGTCAAAGGAGAAACAGAAAAATATCTAGAGACAAATAAAAATGAAAACATGACAATCCAAAACCTATGGGATGCAGCAAAAGCAGTTCCACAAGGGAAGTTTATAGCGACAAAAACTTACCTCAGGAAACAAGAAAAATCTCAAATAAACAACCTAACCTTAAACCTAAAGCAACTAGATAAAGAGGAACAAACAAAACCTAAAGTTAATAGAAGGAAGGAAATCATAAAGATCAGAGCAGAAATAAATGAAATAGAAATGAAGAAAACAATAGCAAAGATCAATGAAACTAAAAGCTGTAGTGAGGTGGATGGACCTAGAGACTGTCAAACAGAGTGAAGTAAGTCAGAAAGAGAAGAATAAATACCATATGCTAACACATATATATGGAATCTAAAAAAATGGTCATGGAGAACCTAGGGGCAAGATGGGAATAAAGACACAGACCTACTAGAGAATGGACTTGAGGATACGGGGAGGGGGAAGGGTAAGCTGGGACAAAGTAAGAGAGTGGCATGGACATATATACACTACCAAACGTAAAATAGCTAGCTAGTGGGAAGCAGCCGCATAGCAGAGGGAGATCAGCTCGGTGCTTTGTGACCACCTAGAGGGGTGGGATAGGGAGGGTGGGAGGGAGGGAGACGCAAGAGGGAAGAGATATGGGGACATATGTATATGTATAACTGATTCACCTTGTTATAAAGCAGAAACTAACACACCATTGTAAAGCAATTATACTCCAATAAAGATGTTAAAAAAAAGAAACTAAAAGCTGATTCTTCGATAAGATAAACAAAATTCATAAACTTTTAGTCAGACTAATCAAGAAAAAAAAGGGAGGGGGGCCCAAATCAATAAAACTAGAAATGAAAAAGGAGAAGTTACAACCAACACCACAGAAATAAAAAGGACCATAAGAGATTACTACAGGCAACTATATGCCAAGAAAATGGATAACCTGGAGAAATGGACAAATTCTTAGAAACGTACAATCACCCAAGACTGAACCAGGAAGAAAGAGAAAATATGAACAGACCAATTACAAGTACTAAAATTGAATCTGTGATTGAAAAACTCTCAACAAACGAAAGTCCAAGGCCAGATGGCTTCACAGGCGAATTCTATCAAACATTTAGAGAAGAGTTAACACCCATCCTTCTGAAAGTATTTCAAAAAATTGCAGAGGAAGGAACACTTCTAAACTCACTCTATGAGGCCACGATCACCCTTATACCAAAGCCAGACAAAGATACCACAAAAAAAGAAAATTACAGGCCAATATCACTGATGAACATAGACACAAAAAACCTCAACAAAATACTACCAAACCAAATCCAATGATACATTGAAAGGATCGTATACCATGATCAAGTGGCATTTATCCCAGGGATGCAAAGATTTTTCAATATCTGCAAATCAATCAGTGTGATATATCACATTAACAAATTGAAGAATAAAAGTCATATGATCATCTTAATAGATGCAGAAAAAGCTTCTTATAAAGTTCAATATCCATTTATGATAAAAACTCTCCAGGAAGTGGGCAAAGATGGAACCTACCTCAACACAATAAAGGCCATATATGACAAACTCACAGCTAACATCATACTCAATGGTGAAAAGCTGAAACCATTCTCTCAAAAATCAGAAACAAGACAAGGATGTCCACTCTTGCCACTTTTATTTAACATAGTTTTGGAAGTCCTAGCCACAGCAATCAGAGAAGAAAAAGAAATAAGAGGAATCCAGATTGGAAAAGAAGAAGTAAAACTGTCACAGTTTGCAGATGACATGATACTACACATAGAAAACCTAAACACATTACTAGAAAACTAGAGCTCAACAATGAATTCGATAAAGTTGCAAGATACAAGATTAATATACAAATCTGTTGCATTTCAATACATTAGCAACAACAGATTGGAAAGAGAAATTAACAAAACAATCCCATGTACCACTGCATCAAAAAGAACAAAATACCTAGGAATAAACCTATTTAAGGAGGCAAAAGACCTGTACTCCAAAAACTATAAAATGCTGATGAAAGAAATTGAAGATGACACAAACGGAAAGATATACCATGTTCTTGGATTGGAAAAATCAATATTGTCAAAATGACTATACTACCCAAGGCAATCTGCAGATTCAGTGCAATCCTTATCAAATTACCAATGGCACTTTTCATAGAACTAGAACAAAAAAATTTTTTAAATTTGTATGGAAACACAAAAGACCCTGAATAGCCACAGCAATCTTGAGAGAGAAAAATGGAGCTGGAGGAATCAGGTTCCCTGACTTCACACTATATTACAAAGCTATGATAATCAAAACAGTATGGTACTGGCACAAAAACAGGAATATAGATCAATGGTACAGGATAGAAAGCCCAGAAATAAACCCACACATCTATGGTCAACGAATCTACAACAAACGGGACAAGAATATACAATGGAGAAAAGACAGTCTCTTCAGTAAGTGGTAATGGGAAAACTGGACAGCTACATGTAAAAGAATGAAATTAGAACATTCTCCAATACCATACACAAAAACAAACTCAAAATGGATTAAAGACCTGACTGTAAAACAAGATATTATAAAACTCCTAGAAGAGGGGCTTCCCTGGTGGTGCAGTGGTTAAGAATTCGCCTGCCAATGCAGGGAACATGGGTTCGATCCCTGGCTCGGGAGGATCCCACATGCCACGGAGCAACTAAGCCCGTGCGCCACAACTACTGAGCCTGCGCTCTAGAGCCCATGAGCCACAACTACTGAGTCTGCATGTCACAACTACTGAAGCCCACGTACCTATAGCGTATGCTATGCAACAAGAGAAGCCATGACAATGAGAAGCCTGCACACTGCAATGAAGAGTAGCCCCTGCTTGCCACAAATAGAGAAAACCTGCACACAGCAATGAAGACCCAACACAGCCAAAAATAAAAACAAATAAAGTAATTAATTAAAAAAAAAACTCCTAGAAGAAAACATAGGCAGAACACTCTTTGACATAAATCACAGCAATATCTTTTTGGATCCATCTCCTGGAGTAATGGAAATAAGAACAAAAATAAACCAATAGGACCTAATTAAACTTAAAAGCTTTTGCATAGCAAAGGAAACCATAAACAAAACAAAAAGACAACCTACAGAATGGGAGAAAATATTTGGAAACGATGCAACCAACAAGGGATTAATCTCCAAAATATACAAACAGCTCATACAGATCAATATCAAAAACAAACAAGCAAACAACCCAATCAAAAAATGGGCAGAAGATCTAAATAGACAGCTCCAAAAAAGACATACAGATGGCCAAAAGGCACATGAAAAGATGTTCAACATCGCTAACTATTAGAGAAATGAAAATCAAAACTACAATTAGGTATCACCGGGCAGAATGGCCATTTTCAAAAAGTCTACAGATAATAAATGCTGGAGAGGGTGTGGAGAAAAAGGAACTCTCCTACACTGTTGGTGGGAATGTAAATTGGTACAGCCACTATGGAGAGCAGTATGGATGTTCTTCAAAAAACTAAAAATAGAGCTACCACATGATCCTGCAATCCCACTCCTGGGCATATACTCGGAGAAAACCATAATTTGAAAAGATATTTGCACCCCAGTGTTCACAGCAGCACTGTTTACAAGACATGGAAGCAACCTAAATGTCCATCGACAGATGAATGAATAAAGAAGGTGTGGTGTGTGTGTGTATATATATATATATATATATATATATATAAAATGGAATATTACTCAGCCATAGAAAAAAGAATGAAATAATGTCATTTGCTGCAACATGTATGGACCTAGAGATTCACTCCATACTAAATGAGTAAGCCGGACAGAGAAAAACAAATATCATATGATATGGCTTATATGTGGAACCTAAAAAAAAATGATACAAATGAATTTATATACAAAACAGAAACAGACCCACAGACATAGAAAACAAACTTTTGGTTACCAAAGGGGAAAGAGGAGGGGGAGGGATAAATTAGGAGTTTGGGATTAACATATACATACTACTATAAATGAAATAGATAACCAACAAGGACCTACTGTTTAGCACAGGGAACTATACTCGATATCTTGTAAAAACCTATAATGGAAGAGAATGTTAAAAAAAAACAGAAGAATATATAACTGAATCACTTTACTGTACACCTGAAACTAACACAACATTGCAAATCAACTATATTTCAATAAAAATTAAAAAAAAAAACACTAAGAGGAACCAGGGCTACTTGGGGGAATGGTTGATTCCAGGTCTGGGGCAGGGAAGGAACGTGATGAGCCTGGAGCATCTTCTTACACCAGAATGTAAGAAAATGCTCAAAGAATGATAGGGTCACATCAAAAGAGTAAAGGAGTCAACTTGTAGGGGATTTTATCAGCCAAATGTGGGACAATTTGAGGATTAAAATAAATAACAGATTACAAGCCACTGAATGAAATAGGAATTCACAAATCCATACTGACATACATGAATAAACGAATGAATGAGGAGGAGGGAAAAGCTCTTCCTTATAGTAGAATGACAACTACTACATGTAGAAGAAATGATGGAAACAGAAAATCACAATCAGACAACCGTCACAATGGTAGTTAATTCATGTGGGAGTCACCAATAGATGTAAAAGTTGGTGCATGTGGGTTTAACATATAGGGTATTGGTATAGTTTTGGGAGTATCTCCCCACAAAATACTTATAAATTACAAAGCGAAAAATAATGACTTTATGGTGTAGAAAACTGACAGGCACTAACTTGCCAAATGATTGAGGTTGGCATCACCAGGGGTAGGATGAGTTAACACAGAGTTGCTTCCTGAAGTCATCCATGGAAAACAGCACAGCATCTTCTGCAGCATTCCCACCTGCGTCTGGTTGTGAGGAAACCTCAGAATGACCCTCGTTGACAGAAATATTACAGAATGAAAAGCTTGTACCCTTTAAAACTGTTAATGTTGTGAAACAGAGGGGAAGACTGAGGAAAATGTTCCAGGTTGAAGGAAACTAACAAGATGCAAAACTCAGTGATTCTGGATGGGATGCTGAACCAGAAAGGAAAATGACACGTTGAAACACTTTTTGAAATTTGAAAGGGCCTGTGGGTTGAACAGTAGTGTCCAATCCATGGTGATTTCTTGTTTTGGATGGATGAATTAGCATGAGTTAGAGTCCTTATTTGGGGGCAGGGTGGAATTGAGTATACTGTCTTTAACCTGCTCTCAAATGATTCATAAAAAAGAATGAGGGGGAGTGGTGTGCAAAGGTAAGAGAGAGAGAAAGGATTACAAAAGATAGTATAAATGTGGTAAAATGTTGAAAACTGAAAATTTGAGGGGGGAGAAGATATGGGAGCTCTTTGTACTGACAAGAGGTGAAGTAACAGGCAAAGGAGCCATGATTGGTGGGTAATTTAGTAATATGTACGAATTTTGAGAAAAATATAACGTACCAAAAACTGACCAAGAAGAAATAGACAGTCTGAGTAGTCCTTTAACCAATAAATAAATTGAATTAGTAGTGAAATATTTTTCCATTTAGAAGACACTAGGCTCAAATGGCTTTTCCAAGAGAATTTTAATAAACGTTCAAGGAACAAATAATTCCAATCTTACACAACTTCTTCCTGAGAAAAGAAAAATAGGAAACACTACCCAACTCATTTAAGAGGTTGCCCTAATCAAGATAACAAAACCAGAGACCATGGTAAATTACACACTAAGCTCACTCATGAACACAGATTCAAAAATCTTAATAGGATATTAGAAATTTTAATCCAGCAATGAATAAAATAATAACCTATAATGACCAGGATGGGTCTACCAAAGGAACACAAGGCTGGTTTAACATTAAGCAATCTTTTAGTATAATTCACCACATCAATTGATTAAGGGAGAAAAAGTATAGGATCATATTATTAGATGCAGAGAATGCATTTGATAAAACTCAACATCCATTCATGATAATAATTCTCAGCAAGACAGTAGAGAAAGGACCTTTCTTAAGCTGATTAGAGGCATCTACCATGAGCATTTAATAAAGTTCAACATCTGATTAAAAAAAAAAAATAGAAGTGAATTTGCATAATATGATAAAGGACAGCTATCAAAAGCCTACAGCAAAAACCATACTTTAAAGTTTAACATTAAAATAGTTTCCTCTAAAATCAGGAACAAGAAAAGATGCCTGTGCCTTTATCTCTACTCAACACTTCCCTAGCGATTCTAAAGTGCAGTAAGACAAGAAAATGATATAAAAGGTTTGAAGATTCGAAAGATACAAATAAAATTTTCATTATTTATAGATAATATAGGTTCAGTCTAGAAAACAAAAGAAACTAAAAATAAATAGTATTAGAATTAATAAAATTTAGCAAGATTGCTTAATATAAGATTAATATATAAAAATCACTTGCATTTCTATATATTAGGCACAAATACATACAAATACAACTTTTAAAAAGATGTTATTTATAATAGCAACAAAACATAAGATTAAATCATAAAATATATGCAGAATCTTTGTGGAGAAAAATTTTAAAACCTTTTGAAAAACCCAATATACAAAGTTAACACAGATACACCATGTTCAGGGATGGGAAGCCTCTATATCTCAAACTGATCTATAAATTCAATGCCCTTCCAATCAACATGTCAGGGGAACTTTTTGAGGAATGTGACACTATGATTCTAAAACTTACATGGCAGATTAAAGGGTCAAGAATAACCAAGAGGGACTTCCCTGGTGGTCCAGTGGTTAAGACTCCACACTCCCAATGCAGGGGGCCTGGGTTTAATCCCTGGTTGGGGAACTAGATCCTGCATGCATGCTGCAACTAAGAGTCCACACACCACAGCTAAGAAGTCCACATGCCGCAACTAAGAAGCCCACATGCCGCAACTAAGAAGCCTGCATGCCACAACTAAAGATCTCACATGCTGTAACGAAGATCCTGCACGCCGCAACTAAGACCCGGCACAGCCTAAATAAATAAATAAATATTTTTTAAAACATTAAAAAAAAGAGAAAGAATAACCAAGATATTCCTGAAGAAAATAAGGTGTTTGGGGCGGGTGGTAAGGGGGCAGAGGTGTAATCAACCAATGATATACAATATAGAACCCAGAAACAGACTCATGTGTATATGGATATCTGATACATGACAGAGGTGACACTGTCGATCAATGAGAAAATAGTGCTGGGATAACTGATTATCCACGTGGAAAAAAAACTGGATCCCTACCTTACATCATACACAAAAATAAATGCTAGATGAATGAGGATACAAATATAAAAGGAAAAATGTATGGCTTTTAGAGGAAATATAAAAGTTATTTTTAAAAAATGGAGGTATAACTGACATAGAAAAATTAAAAAAAATTTATAACCTTGGGTAGAAAATGCTTTTTAAAAAGATACAAAACCCATTTAAGAAAATTATTTGTTTATTTAGCACATTAAAGAACTATGCACTGAAAAACATCATTAAGTGAAAAAGCAAGTGACAAATGGGGAGAAGATATTTACCGTACACATACCCAACTGAGAATGAATATCCAGGATGTATAAAAAATGCTTACAAATGAATAAGAAATAACTACCAAATAGAAAATGGTTAACAGGTATTTCATAGAGAGGACACATGTATAGCCAATCTATCTAAGTAGAAATCAGGGGGAATCACAACCACAAGATATCATTTTATGCCAACCAGATTGGTAAACATTAAAAGTTTGACAATACCAAGAATTAGTGGGGATATACAGCTATGTAAATTGGCCCAATCTCTCTGGGAAAATTTTCAGCATTATCGGGGAAACTTGACAACAACAACTCAAGAATTCTACTCCTAAGTGTAGTCCCTAAAGAAACTCTTCCATATGAACATAAGGAACATATATAAAAATGTTTAAAGCAGCATTGCTTGCAATAGCAAAAAGCTGGAGATAGTGCAAATGTCTTTTGGCTCAAATACGGATAAATAAATTGTGGTATATGGCTACAATGAAATACTATACAGCAGTGACAATTAATGAACCACAGTCATACCCATCAACACTGAAAATTCTCTCTTTAATCCTTTACAAAATAATGTACTTTCATAATGTTGGCTTTTGCTTTCAGAGTCTCGGATAAGTTTTTGTGTCTCACTATTTTTAAGTATTTCAAGTTGTGATAGCGCAAGTTGGTGATGGAAAACAGGCTCTGAGTCACTGGTGGAGGGAGTGGTTTCATTTTGAGTCATGCCTAGGACACTTATAAAATAATAAATTGCACTGGGCACAAGTCCACAATGCCAGGTACTTCTCAGATTTTCCAGGGGCCACTTCCTCCTATCTTCAATTTTCCCACAACTACAGTTCTACCTCTTAATGTCTTCACGTGTTTAATAAGAAGCAGAACGTTCCTGTGGTGGTCCCTGGCACTAAGTTCCCCAGGACTGGCCAATCTTTGAGGATAATAACAATCTGGACCGCCCAGCTCCCACCCCGTTTGTCTCCCAAATTCTCCAAGACCTTGACCACGACAGATTGGGCAGGTTTCCATTTCAATTCTCCTTCGCTCTCTGACCAAAACTCTCACGTATGCGAAACCCTCATCACCCTCTGAGAGTCTGCGCAACTTGGGACTACGAGCCAAGACATCCTCAAGCGACCAGATTTCAGCAAAACCTACGAACAGAGTCAAATAAAAGTGTCAAATGATTTATTGTGTTGTGTTTCCTACCCACACGGCCGCCGCCGGAGGAGCAGCCTTGCGTCCCCTCATCCACGCCTCGCCGTGACGTCACACAGGGCGCCGGGAAATGGCCGCCGGGCTCCTACGTCATTCGGTCGCGCAGAGTTGGCTGTTGCTATACAGTTGCTGGGAGGAGGCGACAAGTAGGGTAGCAGGGGCAAAGATCATGCAGGACAGCGAGAGGTTTCCTGGGCAGCAGAGGCCGCTGGGCTGGCGATGAAAGAAGCAGGGCAGATGCAAAATCTGGAGAGCGAGGGGGCCGGACGGTCAGTCAGCACCCAGACTGGCAGCATGACCGGTGAGTGCCCCGAATCCTCCCGCCGCTCGCCTTTCGCTCTCCTCTGTGTGTCTCCCGCCGTTTCACTCTGGGTTCCCTGCCTGGCCGTCTTCGCCTGCGTTTCTGCTCCTGGGTGTCCCATCCCCGCCCTGGGCGCGTCCCCACCTCGGTCACTGGAATCCCTTGGCCCGGCTGCACTGGCTTTTGAAGTTGCGCTCACTACTCCCCTTTACTTTTCCTCCCAGGACCTGGAGCTGGGATCGACGAGCCTGAAAATTACCCAAACTGTGTTTTTTATTAGATTTCAAAATTAACCGCACGCGACGCTTTCCTATATTTCAACTGCTTTTCCTTCTAAGGTCACCGTATTTTTAGGTCTGGGTCCTAACCACTGCCCTTGTTGCAACGCTTCATCACAGTCCAAAGTAAAGGTTGCTCCACGATGATCTCAGATGCAAGGACTTTTCATAACTTTTTTTGGAGTGTTCCCATAGCTACGTGTATCAGCTGTACTATTTTTTTCTGCTGGGTGAAAGAGGGCCCAACTTTGGAAAGTGCTGGAAGACGTTGCCGGCAAGGAGGTTGAAATCAGTCTCCTGAAAAGAAAGTGCTTTGATTCTCTTGCACACGAATCCTTTTTCTCTGCCTCCTGCTAAAACAGCTGAGCTAAGGCTGCAGCACCCAAGTGGCATTGATCTTAGTTCTTATTTTCATCATTAGTAAAATGTTAAAGTGTTTGCCCTCTCTTTTGCAGGTGAAATACCAAGGCTTTCTAAAGTCAACCTTTTCACTCTGCTCAGTCTCTGGATGGAGCTCTTCCCATCAGTCAAAAGTCAAAGACAAAAGTCTCAGGTATAATTTGTTTCCTTGGACAGTTTTTCCCCTTAGACAAGCGGTGGTCTAAAATTTGATTTTATTGCTCTAGTTTCGGTCACACTTAAACTCAACAAGGCTTCAAATTTGCAAAATACCTTCATGGTTTAGTGTGATACTTGTAATTCATAGCTGTGATAGTTTCTTTTTCCAGTCTAAAAGTAGAATATGTAGTTACCCTCTCAGACTGCCATCTGTATTTTCTTTGGTCAGGTGTCTGTTAAGGTCTTTGGCCCATTTTTTAATCAGGTTGTTTGTTTTCTTACTGTTGAGTTTTAAGAGTTCTTTATATATTTTGGAGAACAGTCTTTTATCAGATGTGTCTTTTATGATATTTTCTCCTAGTCTGTGACTTGTCTTCTCATTCTCCTGACATTGTCCTTTTCAGAGAAGTTTTTAATTTTAATGAAGTCCAGCTTATCATTGATTTCTTTCATGCATCATGCCTTTGGTGTTGTAATTAAAAAGTCATCGCCATACTCAAGATCACCTAGGTTTTCTCCTATGGTTATCTTCTAGGAGTGTTATAGTTTTGTATTTTACATTTAGGTCTATGACGCATTTTGAGTTAGTTTTTGTGAAGGGTGTAAGGTCTGTGTGTAGATAAGGAATTCACTTTTCATGATACAATGATATCTCTTGGAGTAGTTTTCTCCCAATACCTATGTAAAATGTTTTATAAATAATAAAACATTATTTAAAATGTTATGCATTTTTATTCCCTATTTTTCAACCACTCCCTTAAGCCCCACCCTGGCTCCACATATTATTAATGGCTTTGAGAAAGTTCTTCATTTTCTTCATGGATTTTGAAGTCGTTTATTCTTCCTAGTTATTAACAGCTTAGTATTATTTTATGAAAGTAGAAGACTTCTAAGCTGTTGGGTTTCTTTTTTTTGGTTTGTTTTGGTTTTTGCTGATGAAATTTCTCTTGAAGAGACAGATTAGAAGCAAATGTTTAGAGATTTAAGCCTTTTAAAAGTGCATTTAAAAAGCTGGGCTTTGCAATGGAGTGTTATTCAACCACGGGAAGGAAAGACATCCTGCCATTTGCAGCACTGTAAATGGACCTTGAGCACATTATGCCAAATGAGATAAGTCAGACAGAGAAAGACAAGTACTGTATGATCTCACTTATATGTAGAATCTAGAAAAGCCAAACTCAGAGAGAGTAAAATGGTGGTTACCATGAGCTGGGGCGGGGGGACAGATGTTGTTTAAGGGTACAAACTTATGAGTAATAAGTAAGCCCTGGAGATCTAATGCACAGTGCAGTGAATGTAGAAAACAATATTGTATTATAATCATCAAATATGCTAAGAGATAGAGGTGCTAATTATTATTATTGTTATTATTTTATTTTTTTTGCTGCACTGGATCTTAGTTGCGGCATGTGGACTTGCTGGTTGTGGCATGCAAGCTCCTAGTTGCGGCATGTGGGATCTAGTTCCCTGACCAGGGATTGAGCCTGGGTCCCCTGCATTGAGAGCGTGGAGTCTTACCCACTGGACCACCAGCGAAGTCCCTAGAGGTGCTAATTATTGCTACAATGGCAATCATATTACAATATATAAATGTATCAAATTAATGTATTATACACCTTAATTTTGCACAATGTTATATGTCAAGTATATTTCAGTTAAAAATAAATTAATTAGGGCTTCCCTGGTGGCACAGTGGTTGAGAGTCCGCCTGCCGATGCAGGGGACACGGGTTCGTGCCCCGGTTCAGGAAGATCCCACATGCCGCGGAGCGGCTAGGCCCGTGAGCCGTGGCCGCTGAGCCTGTGCATCCGGAGCCTGTGCTCCGCAACGGGAGAGGCCACAACAGTGAGAGGCCCGCGTACAGCAAAAATAAATAAATAAATTAATTAAAAGCTGGGCTTTTTACAAATTGAGTAATAATTTTGAAGAACCTTTTTTAGTATTAAGATTTGGTCTCATTTTAATTCATTCACACACCACACACACACACACACACACACACACACACACACACACACACACACACACACACACACACACACACACACACACACACACACACCAAGAATACATCCTGTTCTTTTTCAGCAGAGGCACATTAAATTTAATAAATAAGTCCACTATTAATTGCACATGATGTTCATAAAGTTGATTAAGATCTTTTTCCTATTAAGAGAAGAAAAATGTTCTTTAAGCTAAAGTAATAAATTTGTTTCACTTAAATTATTTATCCTGCTTTTGCTATACAAATTAAGTCACAGAAACTCTAGGATGCAATTTCACAAGTACTTGTATTGGAAACATTGCTTCTGACACTTTACAAACTTTTGTCTTTTTAAAAATAAAATATTTTTATGTGTTATGAAAGTAATACATGTTTATTATTATTATTATTATTTTTTGCGGTATGTGGGCCTTTCATTGTTGTGGCCTCTCCTGTTGCGGAGCACAGGCTCCAGATGCGCAGACTCAGTGGCCATGGTTCACGGGCCCGGCCGCTCCACGGCATGTGGGATCTTCCCGGACCGGGGCACGAACCCGTGTCCCCTGCATCGGCAGGCGGACTCTCAACCACTGCGCCACCAGGGAAGCCCCATGTTTATTACTTATAAAATTGACAGAAGAAAAAAAAATCCCTCATAATTCCACCACCTAGAGACTACTAACATTTTTGTGTTGTTTCTCAATCTTTTTTCTCTATTTTCTTTACTCATTTGATATCATTCAATTCTGGATCCTGCCCTTTTCACTTAACATAGGAAAATCCTCATGCTGTAATACTGTCATAAACACTGGAGTGGCAACTTAGTCTAATGCTTTGGGAGTAGCCAGTGGTTTCGCAATTAGCTTGCCTGGGTTCAAATCCTGGCTCCATCTCTTACTAGTTGTGTAACCTTGCGTGAATTACTTTACCTTTTTCTGTGTCATCTTCCTCATCTGTAAAATGGAGTGTTACTGGTACATACTACATGGAACTTCTATTGAAAAATGAATGACTTGATATTTGTAAAGGTCTTAGATAGTGCTTGGCATATACTATGTACTTTATGTACTTGTTATTTTTATTTTTAAATTCAGTTTATTTAAACTAAATTTTTTTTTAAAGTTCACCAATTTCTCCCACCCCCACCCTTATCTTTGTCAACCACCATTCTGTTCTCTGTGTCTGTGAACTTGGGGGTTTTTGTTTGTTTGTTTTTAGATCCCACATATAAGAGAGATCATATGGTATTTGTCTTTCTCTGACTTACTTCACTTAGCATAATGCTCTTGAGATCCCTGTGTGTTGTTCCAGATGGCAAGATTTCATTGTTTTATGGCTAGATAATATTCCACTGTGTGTGTATGTATATATATGCCACAATTTCTTTATCCATCCATCTGTTGATGAACACTTAGGTTGTTTTCATATTTTGGCTTTTGTAAGTAAATGATGCTTCAGTGAACATTGGGAGTGCATATATCTCTTCAAGTCAGTGTTTTCATCTTCTTTGGATAAATACCCAGAAGTGAAATTGCTGGATCATATTGTAGTTCTATTTTTAATTTTTAGAGGACCCTCCATACTGTTCTCCATAGTGGCTGCACCAACTTACACTCTCACCAACAGTGCCTGACAGCTCCCTTTTCAGCACACCCTAACCCCAACACTTTTCTAGTCTTTTTGATAATAGACATTCTGACAGGTGTGAGGTGGTATCTCACTGTGGTTCTGATTTGCATTTCCCTGATGATTAATGATGTAGAGTATCCTTTTGTGTACCTGTTGGCCATCTGTATATCTTCTTTGGAAAAATGTGTATTCAGATCTTCTGCCCGTTTTGTAATTGGATTTGTTGGGTTTTTGCTATCGAGTTGTATGAGTTCTTTATATATTTGGGATATTAGCCTTTTGTCAGATATGTGATTTGCAAATATTTTCTCCCATTCAGTAGGTTGCCTTTTCGTTTTCTTGATGGCTTCTTTTGCTGTGCAGAAGCTTTTTAGTTTGTTGTATTCCCAGTTGTTTATTTTTGCTTTTGTTGCTTTTGCTCTTGGTGTCAGATTCAAAAAATTGCCAAAATCTATGTCAAGGAGCTTACCACCTGTTTTCTTCTAGGAATTGTATGGTTTTTATTATCATTTTATTGTCCTCTTAATGATTGCATAACAGTCCATTGTAGCAATGTAACATGTTTATTCCCTTATTATTGAACATTTAAATTGTCTGTCATTTTTACCAGTCTTATGGAATTATTAACTTCAACCACTTCAGAATATAACTACTATCTGAGTTTTCTATGTTGTCAAATATTCACAGTGTATGAGTGTGCCTTGAGGATTGTTCAGCAAGTTATATATTGAGTATAAAGAAAAAGAATTTTTAATAATCCAGTCTAAAACTAGATAAATGAGTAGGAGAGAAACTATTTATGAGACTTCTGAGTACTTACTTTTAAGTAAGTACTTAAAAGTTTTGAAGTACAAATCGAGTACTGTTGAACATGGCTGTCATTTAAAAATAGTTCTCTCTCCTACTGGTTTATAGTTTTAAATTTCAGTTAAGTAAGACTTACCTAAATTGCCTGAATGTTACTTTAGTAAGAATTAGAATAACTGCATTGTTCCCTCATATTTCTCTGCACATCACATATTTGTCTTTCTCTCCCTGCTCTTCCCATTGTGTCCTCTGGTGTTGTACCTTATCTTTATGCTGAAAGACCTCACATACTTTTCCAGAACAGAAGTAATATAGGATAACAGTGAAGACAATGGATTTGGGGCTCAGATCCTTGCTTACCCATTTATTAGTTATGTAACCATGTTTGAGATATTGAATCTCTATCCACAGTTTCTTCATCTGCAAAATGGGAATAATCATAGCTACTTTTGTAAAGATTACATGAGGTAATTTAGGGCCTGATACATGGCCAACACTCAGTAAATGTTAGGTATTATTATTATTATCATACATATAATCAGCATCACCACTACTACCATCCACACCCCCATAATTACGTTACCAACATAATTACTTCCTCCACCTCCTGTTCTACTTGAACAGAAACCTCATTCCCAGGACATGGCTTTTCTTGTAAATTTCTTAGAGGTTACTCCTTTTCTAGCATCCAGCCCTTGTTTCAGAAAACCAAGAGTCAGCATACACCGAGTTTGTCATTCCCACTTTCAAACTTTCTTCAATTTATTGCATATCACACCTACTTTGGGGCTCACAGGATTCTGCTATTTCATTCTGTCATCTACTTACCTCATAATCACTTTCCTGTGTTCTTAAATCATAAGCTCTGTAAGAGCTGCATCCTGAGCAACTGGCTTTATGGCTGGCACATAGAAAGGGTTCAATAAATATTTGTTGAATTAATAAATGAAAAATAAATCTGCTAAGAAAATTTGTGTTCAAAAACTGGTTGCATGGATGGATGGATGGATGAACAAAATTATCCCCTGGTTCAAAACTTTCTACTTCAAGTTTTACTTTTAGAGGAGACTTATGGACATTCCTATATTAGTGTCAACAAAGCTCATGGCTTAAAACAACACAAATGTATATTTTTACAGTTCTATAGATCAGAAGTCCAAAATGGGTCTCACTAGACTAAAATCAAAATGTTGCCAGGGCTGCATTCCTTCTATAGACTCTCAGGGAGAATCTGTTTCCTTGCCTTTTCCTGCTTCTAGAAGCTGCCCACATTCCTTAGCTTGTGAACCTCTTCTTCCACCTTCAATGCCAGCGATGGCGGGATGAGGCTTTTTCATGTTGCATCCCTCTAGCACTGACTCTCCTGCCTCCCTCTTTCACTTTTAGGACCCTTGTGATTACATTGGTAATGTGATTACATTGCCCAGATAATCCAGGACAACCTCCCCATCTCAAGATGATTCGCAACTTTAATTCCGTATGCAACCTTGCCATGTAATATAACATAGCCACAGGCTCCAGGGATTGGGACTGGGAGGTCTTTGGGGGACCGTTATTCTGCCTACCACAATCCATAGTTCATATCCTTGGTACATAGTTCTTCACCTTCCCAGTGCCAGGTAATTTACCTCTATTCCCCTTTTGTCCTTCTTAGCCATGGCCACATTAGGACTTTTCCATTGCTCAAAACTGCCCCAACTCTGAAACCTTAAACTACAGAATTTTATTTTCAGTTCTTCTGTATTTTGGAAAAGTATTCAGGGGTCAGATTATAAAAGCCTTATTTACTAGGTTGAGTAGCCTGAACTTGAACCTGAACAAAGCTGGAAGTCAATACAGAGTTTCATCGAGGAAAAAAATAAATGGCCACACCAAAGAAACCAGTTTTTAAATAGGAAATATTGAATTAATCACATCTTATGTACTAATCTTTTTTCCCCCCCTTAATCTGCGTTTAATTAGGAAAGGGAGGAAGGAAAGCATGGACCCTTAGGAGATAATGAAGAGATGGCCAGAGTATCTACTGACAAAAAACAGGTGAATTTTTATGATTTAAAAAAAAAGCATAGGCTCATAATAACAAAGCAAAAGGAATGGTATAAAGTAGAATAAAAGTCTCTTTTATACTCAAGTTCCCCATTCCCACTTCCAAGAGAGTTTTTGTATCCTCTTCTAAAAATCATACATTTACAAGACTATACATGTCTCTCCAAAGGTTGGGGGTGGTGAGGGAGAACAGATGGGATTATGTATTCTGTAATATGTTCCTACATCTTGCTCTTTCTTAAAATTTTTCAAATTTAACTCTTCTCACCTTCCCATATTAGTTTACATAGATGTGTTGAGAAACACTCTTCATGTTCTTTCAAACTCCAACACATCCTGCTGGTCTTGCCAAGAATGCAAGGCCCTAACTGTTCTTTACCTAGGCCATTTCTCAAGAGTTGTGTTTGCCGCAAGCAACCTTGAGGGTTGAGATAATGTCTCCCTCTGGGACATAGAGCAGGTTTGCTCACTATTTGCAATAAAACATAACAGATTCCCGAGCTCAGTGTTCCTCTCCTGTAACACAACCCGCTTCATGTCCAGGAATCCATATGGACCCATCTGCATGACCCCTTGTGGGACTTGGGGGCAAGGGAACCATCACAAACATGATGTCACATGGCTTGCTGTGCTGTGAACCATAAAGTCCTTTGTTTCTGACCCAGGAGTTTCATGTCTTCTGCTAGCATCCATGAAACAGTAACAGGCTAACTTACTAGCTTGTAAGTACGGTAAAATCAAAGCCTAAACCTGGCAAGATGAGCCTTGTTCTTTTTAATATTGCATAGTATTTCCTTGCTATTTTAATCTTTTGAGTTTTCCAGACAGATTCTGATTCATTGGGTGTGAAGTGGAGACATGTATATTTTGAAAAAAGTTACCTTGATGATTCTGATGTACATTCCTGGAGATTTCCTGACTATTTCTGAGAGTGAGTCTCTCAAATGCCCAAAAGAATATAGAAATAATTTATTTTAGAGTAGTTAGATGTTTTTAATTATAAGAAAGGCAAAAGGGAAGAGTCGTGAATTGTCATTTAAGTAAATGTACTACTTCATGTACAAACCAGACTGTCCTCTCTTGCCTATGTTTTAATGTAAAACTCTGTGACTAGGATTACATAGACACTTGCCAAGATGTTAGTGAAGTGAAGCAAAATCAGGATCCAGAACAGTGATTCACTGCGAAGATTCAGTCTTCTGGGAGTTGGAGTAAGTGGAAGTATCGAAATGGAATGCAACTTAGGCTTTTATTGGTTTTGTTTTGTTTTCAGTTTGGGATGGAAAAATCTTGGTCTCAAACTTGGTATTTTGGCCTTAACTAGAAACAAAATGGAAAAAAAAAAAGATATTTTCTGAAGTGAAAAGGACTCTAGACAAAAAAATGATAAACTTGGCAAAGATTGTTCCAATAAAAAAATAAATTGTTGAGTATGTTTCCCATTTTTTAGGAATAATTTTTTTTAAAGTCTTTTGTGGTCAGGGTTTCTGGCTTTATTTCTGTCTGCATAACTACTTAGAAAATCTAAAGCTAGAATCATTTAATTGCAGCCATTTCCATTGGTCACAATTGGTTTAAATAAAAGGAGCTCTAGTCTACTGAGATCTTTTGATAAGGCCTCATCAGTGGCAATTTTTTTAAAAGCTTGCTGGAAGTATTTAGAAGTAGATACTAACATATACTTTATGTTTGAGGAACATAAAGCTCTTAAGAAATTTTGGGATAGGGAGGGGAAAGGAGTCAAGGTAAATTTAAGGCTTATTTTAAAAGCCAGTATAGGCAGGTCTTTCATATTTAATCTATGTTTTTGGACATATATTTTGTAAGGGAAGGATTTTTATATTCCTTTTAAATGTCCAGAATGTTTAGGAGATGGTTGATTACCTCTGAAAGGGAATTCTATGAAACCTTCTCTGTTCCTTCACATTTCACAAAGTATCATTCTCCATAGTTTCAAAAATTTATACTCATAATTGAAACCGAAACTTGACTATTTTAGTAAATACAGCTTTGGTCTGATCTTTAAAGTGATTTCAAATGTGTCCTATTGGGAATAACTGTAGAGTAGAATTCCTTTGAAAGGGAGTAGGGAATAATGGACACTGTTCTCAGCCCAAGTTCCCCTCATATTGTAAAATCCCTTATGAACCCAAGGATTAGGTTTACATTCCTTACTTCAGGATCTTTTGCTGTGAAAACAGTGTAGACTGTTTTGTGGCTTATGTAGAACTGATTTTTTTTTTTTTTTTTGCGGTACGCGGGCCTCTCACCGCTGCGGCCTCTCCCGTTGCGGAGCACAGGCTCCGGACGCGCAGGCCCAGCGGCCATGGCTCACGGGCCCAGCTGCTCCGCGGCATGTGGGATCTTCCCGGACCGGAGCACGAACCCGTGTCCCCTGCATCGGCAGGCGGACTCTCAACCACTGCGCCACCAGGGAAGCCCTGTAGAACTGATTTTTAACCTTAGTCTATTCTATCTGATATTAATATTGTCATAGCAGCTTATTTGATTAGTATCTGTGTAAGTTAGGACACTTTAGGTTTAAAGTAACCACTCTTCAGAACTCCAGCCAGTGCTCAGCCTCTGGGGCTTAAAGCAAAGTCGGCCCAGTCCCTTACTGTGGGTGGGAAACTGCTGAGATAGCTGCACTTTACTGCTTATGCTTTGAGTTCTGTCTTCCTTTCTAACACCTGAGGGTTATGTCTTCCTTTCTTTTGAGCTTGACTATGCATTTTAAAACATTTTTAAAACTATAAATAATCTATATATTTGTAGGAGGTGGGTCCTACCACATTAGGCTAGACTGCCATAGTCCTAAAGATTGTTAGAGTCAATTTTTAGAAAGAAGTTGAGAATTATCTTTATTTTAGTCAGTATTTAAAATAGTTAAAAATTTAGTAGATGTAAGCTATCGTATATAGGATGGATAAACAACAAGGTCCCTGTATAGCACAGAGAACTATATTCAATATCCTATCATAAACCATAATGGAAAAGAATATTTAAAAAAAAGAATGTATATATATGTATAGCTGAATCACTTTGCTTTACAGCAGTAATTAACACAACATTGTAAATCAACTATACTTCAATAAAAAAAATTTTTTTGAAAAATTAATATGACCTCTGATTTAGTTCTGCCTTTTACCATCTATGGGTCTTTCAGAAAATCATGTAAACTCTGGGCTTCACTTATTCATGTGTAAAATCACAGGGTTTTCCAAGTTTTTCCTTATTATCTAGAAGCTTAATACTAAGTAGTCTTAGACTAGATTAAGAAACAAGTCAAATCGACTTCATTATTGCTCTTTACTAGGTTAAAATGTATTCATTTTTTACTAGGGTAAATTTATGATAATTAAATGCATAATTGTTTGGTTAATAAAGCCTAGATTTAGAAAATTTCTGGTAGAAAGTCAACATTAAACTTTCAGAAAAATTTTTGGACCTAATGAGAAATGTGCTTTTGTTCAAACTGTGTTCAGATGAAGAATTAAACAAAACCTTCATTTTATTAATAAATCAAGTATAATTCATGATACGATCATTAGATATTACAACTAATCACATAAATTATAAAATAAATTATTATTTTGTATCTTAATGTAGGTGAAGAGAACTGGTCTTGTGGTGGTGAAAAACATGAAAATTGTTGGTCTCCACTGTTCAAGTGAAGATTTACATGCTGGGAAAATCGCTCTGATAAAACATGGGTCAAGGTTGAAAAACTGTGATCTTTATTTTTCCAGAAAACCATGTTCTGCTTGTTTGAAAATGATTGTAAATGGTAAGTGCAGATAAGGCTTTGTTGGAGATTAATAGCATTTATCTGAGAACAAATCAAGTGGGAACAAATTGCCTAAATACCACAGAGATAATTTTAAAATATAAATATATATCTGAAGACAGTTTGATGTACTGTAAGAAGAAGAGTCGGAAAACATGGATTCTGGTCTCAGCTCTGTCACTAACTAGTTAGATGACCCTCAGTGTATTGGTAGATTTAATACTAGCTGCTATAACAAATAAACATCAACATTTCAGTGGCTTAATACACTAGATACTTACCACCCATGTAATAGTCCAGTGCAAGTGTTGCTCAACAGCAGACAGCTCCATGTGGTTGATCCACATGTGGTTGATCCGTGGGCCTAGGCATCTTCTGTCTTGTTGCTACTGTCATCCTTCTGGCCTCCTCTGCATCTAGAGACAGAGAGTAGAGAAGGCATACCTGCTTCTTAAAAACCCTGGCCTGGAAGTCACAGACATCATTTCTGTTCACATCCATTGTGGGAACTGTAGTTTCTGGCTGGGCAGCTGCCTCCCAATGACTACTTTACCCTTTGGAAGGAGGAGAACAAAGTATTAACATATAGCTATCTATCTCTGCCACTCTGGGCTACTCACTAATCCTCTTTGTGCTTATGATTCTATTTTGCACCCAGGTAAGTATTCAGACCACTTTCCTATTTAAAAAATAGTATATCTTTTACATAGGCACTGTGATGATTGTGATTTATAATATGAATTATATACTTAGTCTTCATTCCATTCTGGACACAGAGCAACTAAAATCTTTTGAATTTCCTGAGTGTTAATAATGAGAAAGGTGTCTTTTGTTATTCATAACAAGTCCCTTTCCACCATTACTGAGTTTATGTTAATGAAGTAACTTTTGGGAATCCCCTATGGATGGGGCCTGGTTGCCAGGGGAACCAGCCAGGTGACTAGAGTATTGGAACTTGCAGCCTAACCCCCACCAGACCTCTGGGGAGGAGAGCCAGGCTATAGTTTGAGTTCAAACACCAATGGCCAGTGATCTAATCAATCATGCCTATGTAATGAAGCTTCCTTAAAACCCAAAAGGACACGGTTCAGAGAGCTTCTGGGGAAAAAAAGGCTAATGTAGTTCCTAATCCTTTCCCTCAAGCTGTTATTTGGGGGCAAAAAGGGGCAAAAACCAATTTAATATAATACATCATGTAATACCAAATGAGTAATAACAGCTGTAAATGATACATGAGCTCAGAGGAGAGACAAGTGATCCCTGCAGCCTGGCATGTTATAAATAGCTGGGGCTTAAGCTGGACCTTCATGGGTCAGATGTAGAGGAGGAGGAACACATTCCTAGTCAGGAGGACCATGCATGCGGGGTCATCAAGTTGTGAGAAGCAGGGTTCTGGGGGTCAGTGTTCGGGGTGGAAAATTATTCTTGAAGAGAATAGTGGCAGAAGGATTATAATGATAGGTTGGGGCCTTAATGGAGAACTTTGAAAAACTGTCTGGCCTTTGGGCTTTATCTTATAGAACAGAGTTGCTAAATTTGCTTTGAGGAAGAGCTGTTTTTGTTTATATCAAAGTCTTAAGAGTAATGATCAGATCGGTGATCAGGGCAGTTCCCTTAAGCTACAAGTGGAAGCACTTCCAGAAGAAATGGTCATGTGGCTAGAGTCTCCTGGCCTGCATCGAGTATTTCAAGCTGGTAAGTAGGTACCTATGATAAGTTATTAGATTCTGTAGTCTTTCCCCTGCAATTACAAATAGAGAAGGTAAGTGTGATAGTGGTGGTGGCATTTTTTTCTCCTTTTCCCATTGAAGAGTTTTGAGCAGGATGTAACATGATTAAGATGATTATTTGTTGTTGTTATTGAATTAGAACATGGAAAGATAAAGAGCTTGAGAGCTTGGTTAGTAGACTTGCATTAGTTAAGGTGTAAAATAGGGTTAAGGTGGCGGCATTGATCTAGAAAGGAAAGAATGTGAAAGAACCAGACATTTGTGGACTGATCTCTTCTAGAGTCGAGAGAGAAGAATGAATAAAAAGTCGTGTTTTGCGCTGAGTTGACTACACTTAAAGCACTCTTAATAGCCTCAGAAGCCAAGAACTAGAAAAATGGAGGAGTACGAGTAATTCACCATTGCTTGTGTCTTTGAGTTCAAACACTTAAACCTTGCAAGAGAGATAATGAAATGTGGAAAATAAGGAAGGACATGCAATGGAAATGCTTTTATGCTGGTATTAGAGCCATATATAAATAAAATTGCTGTTTGATTAGGCTTATACGTTATTTACTTATCTTGGAAAGGGGCATGGTTTAACCCCATGCTCTAGCTAACTTATTTCAGTTATAATTACTGTTACCTCAGTTACAAAGCAAACATTTCTAAAGCATAGTTGTTCTCAAAGTGTGGTCTGTGACCTCCTCATGGTCCACAAGGTCAAAACTATTTTCATAATAGTACTACATTTATGCTAATAGTACTACAAAAATGTTGAGTAAGCCTACTGTTGCAGTTGTATGAATCAAGGCAATAGTAGTAGTCATTGTACTCTTACATAGCCACCTATTTGGAGTTAAAAAAAAAGGTGGAGGGTGTGGAGTTTCATGTAAGAATGTCATTGATGAAACAGTAAAAAAAAAAAAAAAATCAATTTTATTAAACCCAACCCTTAGTACGCATCTTTTTAAGATTCTGTATGAGAAAATAGGAGGTGGACATAAAGCACTTTTGCTATAAACCTAAGTATGAAGTTTGCCTTAAGGAAAACCGCTTATGCAATTGTTTGAGTCACAAACTGAATTATCCAATTTTTTTCATGGAACACCATGAACTAACAAACCATAGTTACTCAGACTTGGCTATTTGGCAGACATTTTCTCAAAACTGAATGAAGTGAAACCGTCACTTCCAGGAAAACAACTGACAGCATTTATTGCCACTGATAAAATTTGAGCCTTCAAGTGAAAATTAGAATTGAAAAACTCCTGTCTGCCATCATCATAAGCTTACAGCTTCCCACTGCTTAAAGACTCTTCTGATGAGATTGGTGGTTATATTAATGAATTTTTTTTTTTTAAGTATTGTGAAATCAGTAACTCTTGTTTTCCAAATGACCAGTGCATGACGCTAGAAAATCATGCGTGAGTGAAAGAGCCATTCTAAGTGTAAGATAGACCAGAGGACTTTAACAGTACAAAAAGTTTGTTGTGTGACTTCAGATTCCAGACTGTTACTCACCTCTAAGAAACTATCCCTTCTCAAAATTTTATGTAGTGTGAAGAATATTCATAATTATTTGAAATGGCTGTTAAAATACTCCTTTTTAAACTGCGTATCATGTGAGGCCGGACACTTTTTATATATACTTCAATGAAAAGCTAAGGCAAGAGGTTGAAAGCAGAAGCAGACTTGAGAACCCAACTATCTTCTATTCAGCCGGATAATAAAGAGATTTGTATAAACTTTAATGCCATTCTTCTCAACTGGTGTCTGTTTTGGAAAATTGTTATTTTTTATTGAACTATGTTATTTATATTAATTTATGATGGTTCTTACTGCTATTTTTAATGAATTAATTAATATTTTAAAATTTTGTTTAAATTTTCTAATGCAGTAAATATCAGTAGATATAGTCCACATAAACAAAAACTCTTTGGGGTCCTCAGCGATTTTTAAGAGTGTAACAGAGTCTGAGACCAAAAATTTGAGAACCTTTGCTGTAGCTTCTGCTACTAGTACATGAAAATATGTTTAAACATTGGTCATCCCCTCTTCTTGAATCAAGATTACTAGGAGCAACCAGAATGCTTAGATGAAAGATTGATCATTACTGCTGGTTAGGAAATGAATTATGAGAACTCCAACAGAGGGAAAAAGAAACAGCCAGAGGAAACATTCTGATAGCTTTGAGGCCTTCAAGATTACTTTACAGCCCAAGGCACAGTAAGGGTCAGTAGTAGGAGGGAGTAGATAGAAATGTGTGTTTGTTTAACTCGAATTTTTTAGTTCATCTATATCTTTGAATGAAGAGAACGTGTGGGCCATCTGCCTGTTCACTTCTGGGCACAATTATCAAAAACATAAATGCCTCTCCTAGCAGAAGTTACATGAGACACCAGCAAAGGCGTTTCTTTGTTGTAAAATAGTAACTAATTGATAAACATTTATGTGCTTAGTTTTGTATAAGGCATCTCATCGTTCATTCTCAAACACAAATTGAAAACTTTTTTCATATTTGTTACCCAGTTTTGTTTTCTCTTTTGTAAATTGTTCATATATTTTGCCTCTCTTGGAGGCTTTATTCTTGTCAATTCATATGTGCTCTTAGTGGATTAAAATCTCTGTACATCAAAGATTACTAACCTTTTCTCTGTTACATTTATTGAAAAATGTTCCTTCTAGTTTGTTGTTTTGTCTTCAATTTTGTGGACTTAAAAACAATTAATATTGCTTCCTCTCCCCCCGCTTCCCTGCTGCCCTCACATTACAAATTCTTTGTGGACGTTTTGGATAACTGCATATTTTATTATGAGGAAAACTGTAATGTGTTAAACCATTCCTCTATTTTGGCCATTTAGATTTTTTCTATGTTTTTACTGTTTTAAACAATGCTGCACTAAACATATGCATGCATGAATTTTCTTTTGTCTTTATTTCAAATATTTTCTTAGAAGAGCTTCCCAGAGGAAGAGTTTAGAGTACAGGTACATTTTTCATGTGTGGATGAATTTGTTTGTTTCAGGTACAAAACTCTAGCCAGTATCAGTTATGTTATGGTATTTCTAAAAGCTGCCATTTGATTACTTGGAGGACTCTGGTATATAGTCCTATCTCTGGGCTTTGGGACCACACTTAGCAGAGGTAGTGATTCCACAGATACCTTCCATGGGTTTTGTTGTCGGCAAACTTTTCCTATAAAGGGCCAGATAGTAAGTATTTTAGGCTTTGCAAGCCGTAGGGTATCCATACAGCCATTCAGCTCTCAACTCACCTACTCCATTGTAGTACAGAAACAGCCAGAGACAATGTCAAAGATTAGGTTTGTCTGTGTTTCCACAAATCTTTATAGGCACTGAAATTTGGGTTTTATATGATTTTCATGTCACAAAATAGTTTTCTTTTGATTTTCCAACTATTTAAAACTGCGAAATCCATTGTTGACCTGCAAGCTGTATAAAAATAGGCAACAGGACAGATTTGGCCTGTGGCCGTAGTTTGCCAGCACTTGGGCTCTATTATTGGTGACTTGGTAATAGACTTTTATTATATTGGGGCCTTTGGACCTACTGCAGTGATATGGTGGATTTATCAAGAAAACCCTTAATTTCAGCATGCATCTGATAACTACCGTTCATATTTTGTGTTTCAGCTGGAGTTAACCGAATTTCCTATTGGCCTGCTGATCCAGAAATAAGCTTGCTTACTGAGGCTTCTAGTTCTGAAGATGCAAAGTTAGATGCCAAAGCAGTGGAAAGATTGAAGTCAAACAGTCGGGCCCATGTGTGTGTCTTACTTCAGCCTTTGGTGTGTTACATGGTGCAGTTTGTAGAGGAGACCTCTTACAAATGTGACTTTATTCAAAAAATTTCAAAAACATTGCCGGACACTACCATTGACTTTTATTCTGAATGTAAACAAGAAAGAATAAAAGAATATGAAATGATATTTTTGGTTTCCGGAGAAGAAATGCATAAGCAAATACTGATGACTATAGGTTTGGAGAACCTGTGTGAAAATCCGTACTTTAGCAATCTAAGACAGAACATGAAAGACCTTATCCTACTTTTGGCCACAGTAGCTTCCAGTGTGCCCAACTTTAAACACTACGGATTTTATTGTAGCAATACCGAACAGATTAACGAAATTCACAATCAGAGTTTGCCGCAAGAAATTGCAAGGCACTGCATGGTTCAGGCAAGGTTATTGGCATATCGAACTGGTGAGTTTATACACTTAGTTCATAAATCGGGGCTGCTTGGGTTGTATTTGTCTCAGAAGTAAAGTATTCATTTCATCTATGGTAGCGTTTATTGACTCTTAGATACTAAGGTTTTGTTGGTCATACAAATAAAGAGAAGTTAGTGAGACCCTTGAGTAGACAACTCTTAGAGTAGTTTTAGGATTTCTTGTGGCCTATATCGGGTGCTACATTTATAAATCAGGATCTGATTAGGCCCTTTCTGCTTCTTGCTTTTATCATTTCACAGTTGAATGAGCCCTCCGCTAGATAGGACAAAAGGAGAGGGGAGAGAGAACCAGAATTATTCTTTTTTTTCTTAACTCTTCAATATTCTGTAGGTATTCAATATTTAGTAAAAACTTAAAAAATCTTTAAACTAAAAATATGAATTCAAAATAACAAATAGAATCAAAGTAAAGGAGAATTTTTTCATATTCTTCCAATTTCTGGTATGTCTTCAATCAGCAAGTGGAGAAATCAGACATTTTTACTTTATTAAGTTGTACCTGAGTAAGTATGTGAAAAAGGAAACTATTACTTGGGAATTTTCTCTATCATGATAAAAGGCGGTATCTGTATTTCCAATTATAGAACAGTGTTTTTACATCTCAGCAGACATAACATTTTTCAAAGTAGAATCATGATCACTTTTTTTTTACATCTTTATTGGAGTATAATTGCTTTACAATGGTGTGTTTCTGCTTTATAACAAAGTGAATCAGTTATACATATGTTCCATATCTCTTCCCTCTTGTGTCTCCCTCCCTCTCACCCTCCCTATCCCACCCCTCCAGGCGGTCACAAAGCACCGAGCTATGCGGCTGCTTCCCACTAGCTATCTACCTTATGTTTTGTAGTGTATATATGTCCGTGCCTCTCGCTCGCTTTGTCACAGCTTACCCTTCCCCCTCCCCACATGATCACTTTTTAAAATGCAACTTTGAAATAAGGAAAAGAAAATGCAGGCAGGAGGAACAGTAGAGTAAGATTTGGTGAGTAGGCTATAGTAGGAATTTTTAAACTTATCCCAAGAAAGAAGAGAGAAAATCTTCAGAAAAAGTCCATACAAATGCCACTGGTCTGCAGTATATGCTCAACAAAGACCACAGGTTGAAGTAATTTCAGTAAAATGGAGGTTTCAAATGGCAGCATGTTAGAATCACCCTAGAAACTTTTATTAAAAGTAAGAATGCTCAAATTCTAACCCAGACCTACTAAACCTGGTCCCTAAGGGTATGTCCTAGGTCTGTGAATTTTTAACTTTCTGTAAGGGATTCCAACATTCAGCAGGGTTAATAATCACTTGATTCTTATTAAAGAATTTGATTCTACTATAGGCACAAACTACATGATGCCAAACAACTGTATTCTGTAAAGGTCTGACTTAATGTAAGTGTCTTGTATCGTGGGCTCTATGTTAGTCTCTGCCAACTCCAGCTTTATAAAGAATTTTTCTCCCAACCATTCTGGAAGGACAGAAACATAAATGGAAACAGCTGTTACAGCTATACTTCACTAATTCTCATTTGCTAATTAGAATTCAGCAGATTCCAGAGTGAGCGTAAGATGGGAGGTGTGAGTCTGTTTTTTTACTTAATCTCAGGAGCTCCTCTCCTAATACCTAACAATACCGTGTATGGCTTCACTATGCAGTAATGTATAGATATAAATTTGCATATATATTCTTTATTAGATACTCTACTAGTATAGTTATAGTATTGTAAATTTATCTGCTGTTACTATGCAGAGTTTTGTACTTATGCGCTTGATGGGTGATTTAGGTTTTTCAAGGTTAATTTTTTGTCTATGTATGACTTTCTTGCCTGGAACCCAAATCCTGAATAGAATGCGACTCTTATGTCATGTGCTCCTTTCCACTGTGAGCTCTTCCAGGGGAGAGACCATGTCCTCATCATTGTTTTTTCCTTAGCACAAAAGAAATATTTTTATATACAAAGATAAATGGTCCACAGTCCCCTACCCAAAGCTCTTGAAGCCAGATGAAAAGGAATTCAGAATTTTTCAGATTTTAGAAAAATAATAGGTACATGCTATATGTATGTGTGTCAAGGTGTTTTAAAAAAACTTGATATAAGGGATTGCAGATAAGGAATTCTGGACTGATACTCCTCATTGATGATAATAAAAAATTTATTGAGCACCTACTGTGTGTCAGGCACAGAGCTAGGTGATTTATATATGTACCTCACTTAACATTGAGGACAATCCAGCAAGGTAGATATCCCCTTGACTTAGTGTGTTTCTAATAACTCTAAATTTTATGCTGTTCAGCTCACATAACTTTATTTCACTCTAATAGGTGAAGAAATCATTACGTTAAAAATATACATATGATTAAAAAGAATGCCAAAACTTCTAACAGAGTTCTGAAACTAATTGAAAGTAGGTAATTAATAATTGATTTTTGAATGATGAGTAAATAGGATCCACAGAGGTGTCATTAAAAATATGTTTCTAGGGCTTCCCTGGTGGCGCAGTGGTTGGGAGTCTGCCTGCCGATGCAGGGGACACGGGTTCGTGCCCCGGTCTGGGAAGATTCCACATGCCGCGGAGCGGGTGGGCCCGTGAGCCATGGCCGCTGAGCCTGCGCGTCCAGAGCCTGTGCTCCGCAGCGGGAGAGGCCAAAACAGTGAGGGGCCCGGCAAGGGAAAAAAAAAAAAAAAAAAAAAATGTTTCTAAGCTACTTTGAGGGTAGCAAAAAAGTGACAAAATTTGTTTAGACTCTAGGGGAAAAAAACAGAGATAGGAGGGCATCACATCTTACCTACCTGGTTTAAGTGTGAGTTTTGATTTCTTTTTATGTCCTGTTTCCCATTAGACTAGGCGTTTTCCAAAGCTGACGATTATGCCTTCCTTCTGAACCACAACGCTAATGATGAAAGTAGGTTGGAGTAGCCAAGAAAGTTAACTGTTTCAAATCATAACTCAGCGGTTCTCAACTTTTAGTTGCCTACGAATCAGAGGTGATGCTCATGAGAAGTACAGATTCCTGAGTCTGCCGCCTCCCTTGGAGAGGTTGATTCATGGAATTTCCATGGGAGCCAGGAGTCTGCCTTTGTAACAAGTGTCCAGTCATTCGGATGCAGTTGGTTTGTGAACCACACTTGGACATACCCTGACATGACCACAGTATTGGGAGCTAAAATAACCATGCCTGTGTTCCAGAACCATAGGATAAAGAGTCCTCTGACTTTCAGTGACCGAAGAGTCTCAGGAATTTGGCTCAGTGATTTTAAGTTGACCTTTCCTTCAAGGGTATACAGAGAAAATCCTGTGAATGACCAGATCCTGGGGAGCAATTTACAGACATGAAAGCTTTTTGAGAAACTTTACATAAAAATTACTGATGTGAAAAGATTTTTGAGAAATTACCTCATCTGTCATCCAACCTTGGGGGCTGGGTGAAATCTACTCATCGTATATGGATGAAATTTTATTCTGATTTCAAAAGACATGTAGTAAAGAATATTTTCTTGGTGAAACTAGCCTTAGCTAAGCAGTAGAGCTTTATTTTTGGCTGCGTTGGGTCTTTGTTGTTGCGCGCAGGCTTTCTCTAGTTGCGGTGAGTGGGGTTACTCTTCGTTGCGGTGCGCGGGCTTCTCGTGGCCGTGGCTTCTCTTGTTGCGGAGCACGGGCTCTAGGTGCGTGGGCTTCAGTAGTTGTGGCATGAGGGCTCAGTAGTTGTGGCGCACGGGTTTAGTTGCTCTGCGCCATGTGGGATCTTCCCAGACCAGGGCTCAAACCCCTATCCCCTGCATTGGTAGGTAGATTCTTAACCACTGTGCCACCAAGGAAGTCCCTGAGCTTAGTTTAAAAAATCACAGTTTTTTTCCTCCTGACAAGATTTAGGCTGTCCCTAGACTGAAACAGAAAAAGTGGCTCCTGGACTAAAAAATAATAATATGAAAAATACTTCGTATCAATGGTAGGAAAAGTAGACTCTTGATATGAAGAGTTTCTATTTGAGTTTTTCATTTTCTGTTTCAGATTTATACATGTATTAAGTACAATTTTACTTAAAGGTTTTCATTTATAATATAAATGAAATATAATCTTAGGTTTTTAACTTCTATACTGCTTACCTTAGAAAGGAGCATAAAGCCATAATTATATTCTTTTCCCTTCATGTTGTATTCTGACAATCTTGGAAGGAACAAAACTTTTACCCCCAAATTCCTTTCCTGACAGTCTCCACTCTATAAAGTATGTTTCTCCCATACAGTGTTCCTCAGTATCCTGCTCCTTTCCTTCATAGCCCAGCACAGCACCTAGGTTCTTAGATGTTTCCTTGTTACCATCTTCCTTCTCCATTGGACCATACGCTTCATGAGTATAGGCACTCAGGTATTCAGTAAAGGGGAACCTTTGTTACAAAATTCTTCACATCGGAGGGAGGCAAGCCGGTTGGGTGTGGAGGGCTAAATTTTAGTCAATTTCTTTGCCTGTTTTCTCATCTAGAAAAGGAAATTTTGTCTGCTTTACCTTTAGGATAAAAATGAGATAATGGATAACAAGTGCTTAAAATAAATTATAAAAATGCTTTGTGGTATAATTTTGAAAACCCAAGCTTGCTTGACCTGAAGATGGGGAATTTCATTATAGTATCATAACTTTCTTTAAAAATTAACTGTATCAGGCATCCTAGTTTTTCATGCATAGGTAGAATAATGTTTCTTTGTACATTTACTAGAAAAGTATTTAAATATGTTATTATTGGAAGGATTATCTTTTAGGAAATTGTGGGGTGAAGCCACAGTTTTGTTTAATCCTCATCAATATGAAAATGCCTGAGGGCAAGTTCACAGATAATTTTCACTTTCTCTGTGTAAATGTACCTACTTAACTATATTGGTCTCTTATTAAGATTTTGATAAATACTATGGTTTTTATAATTTGTGTACAATCGTCCTAGAAATTTTTTTTTTTTTTTTTTTTTTTGCGGTATGCGGGCCTCTCACTGTTGTGGCCTCTCCCGCCGCGGAGCACAGGCTCCGGACGCGCAGGCTCAGCGGCCATGGCTCACGGGCCCAGCCGCTCCGCGGCATGTGGGATCTTCCCAAACTGGGGCACGAACCCACATCCCCTGCATTGGCAGGCGGACTCTCAACCACTGCGCCACCAGGGAAGCCCCGTCCTAGAAATTTTTAACTCACCCTTAGTAGTAGTAGAAAGAAAAAGTCAGTTCTTAATATTTAGAATTTCTATTTTGGTTTTGTATTTTCTGTTGAAGGTTAATAGTTTGAAGAAATACAGCCTTTCTTGTTGCAAAGTAAATAGGTTGGTTCTGCAGGGAAATTATAATGTTATATTTGTGACTTCTGCCACTTGATTTAGAAATGGGCATCATGTCACTAACTTGGCATTCTTTTCCCCTCAAGGTAAACTGTGAAGGTCAGGGAAAGGACATCATTTTATTTAAATCAAAATTCCTTTCATGTACCTTCCAGCAAAAAAAAAATATGTGTGTGTGTGTGTGTGTGTGTGTATATATATATATATATATATATATATATGAAAGCCCATAAAGATTTATGTTTGTATTATGAGTTTGAACTTTTTTCATAGCAAGAACACTTTCATGAAATGTATTTTCCATGATTAGAGTGCAAAAAATGCTAGAAAACAGATTTGATTGTTGTGAATGGTTATTACACTAAATCCATTAGTTCAGAAACTTCTTTCTTAATTGATTTCATCGTCTATTAGAAATAGTCATTTAAAAACTGACTTGTTGGTGGAGATTCAATAAAGTTACCCTCAGTTCTGGTTACAGCTTTGAAGTCACCTGAGTGCGGGCACTGCCACTGTGTTATCTCTGCACATAGATCACGTGAGATTGGGTTGGTAGTGATACTGTCTATAGTTAGTTCGTACCTAGCTCCCATATAGTCTATGCTTGACAATATTTATTTTCATACTTTTTCCGTAATTAGTGAGGTTGTCAAGGATTGCTGCTACCTTTATGAAGTATATTTCAATAAATACATGTTTATTATTTTTGGAAAAAATGTATTTCTGAAACTAACAAATCATTGATTTTTACTGAGTTACACGCCATGTATCTTTCAGAGGATCATAAAACAGGAGTTGGAGCAGTCATCTGGGCAGAAGGAAAATCTGTGAGTATGAAAATAATTCTTTATAAACATTTAAACTTGATTTTGTTTAAACATATTTCCATGTTAAGTACATGACATTTTGTTGACCCCTGGGGATTAATATTTCTTATTGGTGTATTTATTAAGTTTTATAAACATTTGCATATTCTCTCAACAGTTTTTTTATATAGATTTATTCATTTAGTGAACATTTATTAAACACCTGCCACAGGGTTGGCTCTGTGCCACAGTGAACAATGGGGAGTTAAGGATCACATAGTCCACCCTTCATAGCCTTATATAGTCTAGTGATGGAGACAGAGGTGAAAAAGAGACTGGTATATAACTGTAATTATAACCTGATACCGTGAGAGCACAGAGGAGGCACCTTTACTCTGCTTGGAGAAATGAGTAAAATACTATTAGGGGAGGTCAGGTGCTATTAGTCTTGAAGAATGAGTAGGAGTTCATCAGGCAGAGCAAGTTAGTGGGACTAGAAGGGTAACATGCAGAGGTAGGGCGTGAGAATGTGGGGAAATGCAAGTAATTTGGCACATTGAAGTCCAGGGTCCTGTGTCTAGCAGAGTAGCAAAAAATTGGGCTGCACCATAAAGAACTCTGTATACCACATAGAGAGTTTAGACTTTATCCATCAGACAGTGGGATACACTAGCACAGTACTAACCAACAGAAATAAAAGGCAAGCCACATACGTGATTTAAATTTTTTTAGGAGCCACATTAAAAAAATAAAAAGAGGGCTTCCCTGGTGGCGCAGTGGTTGAGAGTCCGCCTGCCGATGCAGGGGACACGGGTTCGTGCCCCGGTCCGGGAAGATCCCACATGTCGCGGAGCACCTGGGCCCGTGAGCCATGGCCGCTGAGCCTGCGCGTCTGGAGCCTGTGCTCCGCAGCGGGAGAGGCCACAACAGTGAGGGGACCGTGTACCGCAAAAAATAAATAAATAAATAAAATAAAAAGAAACAGGTGAATTAATTTTAAGAATATATTTTACTTGGGACTTCCCTGGCGGTCCAGTGGTGAAGACACCGCGTTTCAACTGTAGGGGGCACGGGTTCGATCCCTGGTTGGGGAACTAAGGTCCCACGTGTCACGCAGTGTGGCCAAAAAATATATATGTATGTATTTTACTTAATCGTCTGTCCAGAAATATTATCATTTCAACATGTAACCAATATAAAAATATTTGTTAATGTTTTTAATAAAATATTTTGCATTTGGGGGGAGTACTGATTCTTCACAATCCTGTATGTATTTTATACTTATAGCACCTCTCAGTTTGCACTGACCACATGGTGCTATTGGCTACTATACTGGACAGAGCAATCCAAGAATATTTTAAGTGGGAAAATGATCTGATTAGATTTGCATGTAAAAAATGAAGTGGGGCTAGACAGGAACTAGGGAGGTTAATAAAAAGAGATGATGAGGACTTGGAATTCTGTGGATGGGTTGGGAGGGCATGGAACCAAGAGATACTTCGTAACTATGAGGATGACTAAAAGATGAGTAGGGGGGCCTAAGTGTCCTTCAACAGACTTTATAGCAAGTAATTTTACTATTTGGCTGGATATGTCATGAGCCCCTCAAGTTCAACCTAGCCAATACATTCAGTATCTTCCTGGCTAACCTATTCCTTCACTAGTGGTCACCATCCCATTCCCCATTCCACTTAAACAATCGATCACCAAATGCTGTGAATTCCACCTTCAGACTATCTCTTGACTCTTATTTCTTCCCAAATTGTTAGCACCTATTAGAATAGGTTCCTCTGCCAGAAACTCGCATAGTATTCTGTACAACTCCGTGGTGACGCTCATCACAGTTAAATTTACATGTCCAGTTTCTTATCGTCTCCAGATCAGAAGGTTCATGAGGGCTGGGATTCTCTGTCACATTTACCAATGTATTCCCAGAACCTAGCACAGGGCCTGGCCTATGGTTGGAACTCTCCCTTGGATTTATATAAATGCTCAGCAGCCTTTTGGCTTAACACCTGGTTCTCAACTACTTTTTGGAGAATTTAGGTTTCCAGTTATATTATCTAGAGTGTAGGCAGCATGGTAAAGTGGAAGGACATGGGTTTGGAGTCAAGCAACCCATCCTTGAATTCTGGCTATGTTGCTTACCAGCTTTGTGACTTTGGACAAGTTATTTAATCTCTTTTGCCTCAGTTTCCTTATCTATACAATGGGAATAGTAATAGTACTACTGTCTAGGATGTTGTGAGGATTAATTAAATGAAGTAACGCATATAAAAGTGAGCATGATGTTTAACCTTTAGTGAATGCTCAAGGATAATTTATTATCAATGAGATAACATATTATTTGTAAGCTTCTGTCGGCTCATCATAACAATGATTTTTACCAAGCTGCTATAGTACTGAGTCTGTTGAAACTATCACATGAGTAACTATGTATAATATATTGAAATTTAGTGAGGTTTATGGCATATTCCAAACTATTATAAACAGTTCTGATTTATAAAATATTTTACTTTTATAGTTGATAAAACATTCATATTGACACCTAATATGCCACTGACCAGGAGAAATAAAAAAACCACTTAAAAAAAAAAAAAACAACTTAAGTAGGAAGTTCTATGACATACACACACACACACACATACACACACACACACAAAAACACAGTAGAGGCTCAGTAAACATGAAAATTAAAGGAAAGTGCATTATTTATTTTCCAACTATATACACTAGCACATTTTTAGCCCAAAACAGAAATTGTCTGTTCAAAATATTTTTAGGATTTCTGACTTGCTAACCAGTAGCACAACACAGAGCATATAAGGAATTAACAATAATTTATTGTGTACCTGCTGTGTATGGAACACTGTAATAGGTCTACTTTAAGTGGCAGAAAGGAGGTATAAAACATGGTTTCTGTTCTCTAGGATCTTATAACCTATTCAGGGAGAGGTGTCTGAATCAAGTGAAACAGTTTGTGAATTAAGCTACTATTTAATTAACTGCTAAAACAAAGGACTGCCTTGAGATTATATACTAGAGATGATCAGGCTGCCTGAAATTTAACTTTGACAAGACCACACTGTGGCAGGAAAATCTAATATTGTATTTTTCTGATGGCTCAGTTAATCATGGAAAAGTGAATTCATTATAAGTATGATACTAGGCTTTAAAGATACAATGTAAGATGCCTTTTCAGAATGTTGAAAACAGCTTTGTTGGTTTGCTTACTTTTCATAGAGAAATTGTGATGGAACAGGAGCAATGTACTTCATAGGATGTGGTTATAATGCTTTTCCTGTTGGATCTGAGTATGCTGACTTCCCACACATGGACGACAAACAGAAAGACAGAGAAATAAGGAAATTCAGATACATTGTACACGCAGAACAGAATGCCTTGACATTTAGGTATGAAATTTGTTCGCATGTATTTTCTATAAAATGTAGCAAGGATTAGTTAAAATTAGTTTTCTTTTAGCTGTAATTTATTGCCTTTTTAAAAAATTCCAAGAAATATTCTTTTCAGAAGTATAACTTTGGTCCTACTTGGTCTTTGCTACCTGACCTGAAGCCATTGTCAGGGATCCTGCAGGCTTTCAAATTTATTGAGCAAGTCTTTTTTCCTTTCTTCCTTCTCTGTCCAGTATAAAACTGCTTGAAGTTTGTCCTTAGGGTCTTGCATATTTCTGCATTATATAATCAGTTTTGTTTTCTAAATGTAGAGCCCATATATTTATATTTATGAATATATAGATTTTATTATGAATCAAATTGCTTTAACATAGTTTTTGTTAGAGATTATAACTGGCATTACCTCCTTCTAATGTTAATTTAGATCATTTCCACAAACATTTCTCAGCATTTACCATTAAGTGGGTGATCTTAGGGGATTTAAATCTGCATAAGTCATGGTTTCTGTCCTTGAGGAGCTTATAACACAGTATGGGATATAAGACTGTATTCAACCTAACATGGTCAGTTGTGTGGGAAAGGCCAACACAAAGTGGGTGGAAATTCAGGGGCTGCTACGGATGGAGGGGGAGTGAGAGGGAAAAGCTTTATGGAGAAACTGGCATTTGAGCTGTGCTTTAAAGGTTTGGTAGGATTATGCCATTGGAGATACTTACTTGAAGGGAAACCATTCTTGCTTCAGACATAGCAGTGGGCTAGAAGTAGGAAAATGCTTGTGTGTTTAGGAACACAGATGTTCCACTTAGGCTGCACCATGGAGCACATGGGATCGGTTGGGACTGACAAGAGAGGACTTTGAGTTTAGACTTCATTTGGTAGGTAGTGGAGAAATTGAATGACATTGACAGAGCCACACTAATGATTACTTAGGTTGCAGGCATATTGTTTGAACAGACTAGATGCATACAATTCTGCTGCCCTAGTACAGGGGAACAGAATGAGAATCTGAACTAAGGACATGGGTGCAGAAGGCTGGTGGTGGGGAATGTAAGACTGAGAGCAGTGTAAACCATAGAACCTAGAAGTACAACTCCTGTATCCTCAGATGAAGCATTCCTTAGTCCTAAACTACCCCCGGCATGTAAAATTTCACCAAACTCCTCTGTTTTTTTTCCTTGTGCTCTTCATTACAGATTACTTGCTTCGTTTTGTCAAATCCAAATGCTTGTTAAATAAAATTATCCTGTGTTAGGGAAGGGAGTAAGGGAACTGTAACTCAAAACAGAACTCTAATATTAATTTATCAATTTAGTAAGCATTATTAAATATCTGTTAGTTACCAGATAAGAGGTAGACCTTTTGGCTACCATGATGACTTAATGTCTAATCACACATGGTACATTCTTAGGGAGGGTGTTAGTTCTAGCCCCTAATTCTGGCATTATAAAGAGTTACTTACTTAGAAAGCATTGTTTTCTCTCTCTCTTTCTATTTTCATTTCCTTTGTAATGTAATACTGAAAATCTTGCCATTGACTAATTCAGCAAGAATAAGGCTTGATCATTATTGTGTATAATGTTGTAAATCTGTTCCTAAAGCAGCTCAATTTTAATGTTTAAAGATTTTTCTAAAACATAACTTACCCTTTTAGAAACTATCTTCCTGATATTTTATATATATTTTTTGTAGGTGTCAAGAGATAAAACCAGAAGAAAGAAGTATGATTTTTGTGACAAAGTGCCCATGTGATGAATGTGTACCTTTAATTAAAGGTGCGGGCATAAAACAAATCTATGCAGGGGATGTAGATGTTGGAAAAAAGAAGGCAGACATCTCTTACATGAGATTTGGGGAACTTGAAGGCGTTAGCAAATTTACAGTAAGTAGATACACATTTTTTCAAATATACTTTTTATTATATTGTTAGGTACTCTGCTGCATATTTTAAATTAGCGATTCTTACCCTTTTAAAGAGTTATCATTGAGTTTATGTTTATGTGCAAGCACTTGCTTAACTACAAATGTTCAGCTTAGGATCTGCCTTATGAATATAGATCTCTATCAAGAGTTGTGCATTGACCTTACAGATCTTGAATTAGTTAGTCCTTTGGTGCCATCTGGTGGCTAACAAAAGAAAATCCTTGACCCACCTCTTCCCTCACCTTTCTGGATTGAAGTTGTAGACAGAGGTGAAAGTAGTTTAAGATTACCCAAAAGAAGGGGACACACACACACACACACACACACACACGTGTGCATTTCTCATGAGAAAAACCAGGAAAAAATAAGAAGAATTTAATATTTGACATTTCCAAAAAAGTGCTGGGGTGGTTTGTGGAAAACTCAGAACTTTAATTCTTTGTGCTTTTTTACTACTTTGGTTTCTAAAAAACTTTTTGTTTTTAGAAATAATCTCAAGCATATAGAAAAGTTACAAAGAATGGTTTATAAAAAACTTTTTCTTGGGCTTCCCTGGTGGCGCAGTGGTTGGGAGTCCACCTGCTGATGCAGGGGACATCGGTTGGTGCCCCGGTCTGGGAAGATCCCACATGCCGTGGAGCCTGTGCTCTGCAATGGGAGAGGCCACAACAGCGAGAGGCCCGCGTACCGGAAAAAAAAACAAAAAAACCTTTTTCTTTTTAGAAATAATCTCAAGCATACAGAAGTTACAAAAATACTACAAATAATTTTTTTTTCCAGAACATTTGAGAGTTAAGTTGTTGCTATGATGCCAGATCACTCTCAGATACTTTCTTGTATATTTCCTCAAACAGTATATTATCCTACATAACCACCACAAAACTCAGGAAATTATCATTGATATGTTGCTACCATTTAATCCAGAGTCCAGTCAGGGTTTACCAGTTGTCCCAACAAAGTTCTATACAGCAAAAGGATCCTGTCCAGAATCATATGTTGCTTTGATAATTCTGGCTTTTTTTTTTTTTAATATTTATTTATTTGGTTGCACCGGGTCTTAGTTGCAGCCCGCTGGCTCCTTAGTTGCAGCACATGGGCTCCTTAGTTATGGCAGGTGGGCTCCTTAGTTGCAGCTTGACAGCTCCTTAGTTGTGGCATGTGAACTCAGTTGTGGCATGCATGCGGAATCTAGTTCCCTGACCAGGGATCGAACCTGGACCCCCGGCATTAGGAGCACAGAGTCTTATCCACTGCGCCACCAGGGAAGTCCCATAATTCTGGCATTTAATATAACATTTATATACTGTAGTTTGCAGTGGGTACAAAAGGCATATGATAGAACTGTTTACAAATTTCAACTTTACTTTTCTGTTTGAATCCAGGGTGTCTGGAACATACAAGGCACCTAAAAATTACTTACTAAACCATATATATATTTAAAAATTTATTTAAAAATTAATATAGCAACACATTATTTAGTTTTCTAGTTTGTGTGTGAAGAATCATATATTTTTATCCTTTTTATTTTTGTCATATATTTTTGTTTTTTATTTCCAGTTGTCTTATTTAAAAGACATGATTTTAAAAAGAAAAGGGGGGCACTGAAAGAAGGGAGAGATGGGACAGATGCCTCTTTTGTAAAACTAAACAAGTTTGTATCCATCTAATCAAAAGGGAAATCACCAGTTCTGTATTTTTGTTTTCTGTTCCTTCATTCCTCCTGAAGATTGGGAGGAAATAATTCTCTTTATAAAGTGTAAGTGACCTAGCTCTTCAGGACTGTGAGTGCTGGGTTAAGTGAATTCTGAAATATCTTGCTTACTGGTGGATTTTAGTAGCTTTTCCACCGTAAAGAGAATGAAGAGATTAGAAGAATGTAAGACAGGGCAAGAGAAGCAGGAAGAGACAGGAAGACAAAGGGAGTGAAGGCCCCTCGGGCAGAGATGGGATTCAGAAATACCTGTTGGGCCAAGACCCACCCAGGAGTGCCCTCATTCAGGTACACCTGGTCTCTCTGTACTCCTTCCAGTGAAGATTAGCTCTCCACCCTCTCATCCTTTCCCTCATCTGGCCTGGCTTGCAATATTATGTCAATGATTTAAACTACTTGGTTATAGCTAAATGCCTAGTTTTGTAAATACCAGTAACTAACACGAACTAGTATTTGTTCCACATTGGAATTTTTATAATGATTATATTGCTTTTAGACTGTCAAAAGTAGCATGAGTACCAGTAAATTTCATTTTTTTAAACATTAAACCAATTGAAATTAATTTTGTTTGAAAATTTTTTTCTTTTCTCTTTGAGGTGTTACCATATGCCTTGAGATGAGAGGTTCTGTTCTGTGGGGTTGTTGCAGACTAGGCTAGGGCTGGGCAACAGTATTTCCAAGAATATATTTTACCTGTGTAAACCCAAGTCCATTTACTGAGAAACTATTTTTTTTTCTGTTTAATACATGTAAATTTTTCTTTTTTAGGTTATATTACTTTTTTTTAAATTGTGAAAGTAATGTATGCTCATTATAGAGGAAATAGAAAAAAGAACAGATATATAGATGAAAATAAAAAAAGAACAGATATTATCCCACAGTTCATAGATACCACTGTTAACATGTTGCTGTATTTTCTGTGTCATTGAAAATTCTTCAGAAATAATTTTTAATGATTACACAGTATTGCAACCTATGGACATAACTTATTTAACCATTCCCTTTTTGTTGGACACCTAGATTGCTTCTAAGTTTTCACAGTTAGACATAGTCTTTTTATGATGATCTTTAAATGTAAATTCAAGGTTATTAGTTTTTACTTTGCCCAAAGTAATAGATTTTAATGGTTTGACATGTTTTGAACATGACTTTTTTTTTTTTTTTAATTTCACATATATCTTCCCATTGCTTGGAAATCCTCCTTTTTCCTGGTGCTAATCCTAACCATCCCATTTCTATAGGTGACCAACCAGTTCTAGATGTCTTCCCCTTCCAAGGACTTTTTTATACATGGTAAAATGTCTGTCTTATATCTCATTCTCCCTCAAGGCCCATGATATTAATGACTTCATCTGATGAACTAACTGATGCTTCTGGAAGAGGCCCCCAGGAACTATCCACTTAATTGTGTCTTTCTGGAGAGAGTGCCCTAGTGGGGCTTTTTTGGTTAAGTCATTAGTGTTTCTGATGATGGGGATTTCTAGGCAAATAAGAAAGGAAGGGTGTGCTTTGAGATATTGATTACACTCAGTTTTTCTTATCTGCTGCTCCAGTCTTCACTGTAATATCTGAGAATCTTCATGCTTCTGTATTTCTTTCTGAATGATTGAGATGGAAAACTATAATCAGAGGAGATGTGATATGATATGATATGGTACAATAAATGGTATGCTATGATAAAAATAATAGTATATATTATATTACTATATTAAAAGGCAAGATAGTCTTTGTCTTATTTTCATTCTTTCTATCTAGGCCTTCTCTAGCTATTATAAGGTTCTGTAGGACCTGGAGCTAGAATATGAAGTGGTGGAAATTCTATAGTATTGGGCATGGGCAGACCCAGGTTCTGGTGCTACTGCTGTCTTTAGTCAGTATGTAACCTTGGGCAAGTCACTATGCTTCTCTGGTCTTCCACTTCCTTACCTGTAAAACGAAGGTAAAGGAGGATTTTTATACTTCCTTCTCTAAGAATATTGATTCTCATTCCAGAAGTCATATCATTCAGGGTCATTCAGAGTCATTATTAGGGCTTGGTTGGTACGACACACTAACTCTTTTTTCTTACATTGTTTTAAGCTGTTTTGATATTTGAAAGCACAGTGCTGAAATGCTACTTTTTTTTTTTTTTTTTTTTTTCTGTACGTGGGCCTCTCACTGTTGTGGCCTCTCCCATTGCGGAGCACAGGCTCCGGACGCACAGGCTCCGGACGCACAGGCTCAGCGGCCATGGCTCATGGGCCTAGCCACTCTGCGGCATGTGGGATCTTCCCAGACCGGGGCACGAACCTGTGTCCCCTGCATTGGCAGGCAGACTTTCAACCACTGCACCACCAGGGAAGCCCTGAAATGCTATTTATTAAACATATAAATAAAATGTTTGTGTCCTTTTACAGTGGCAAATGAATCCATCAAGAACTTGTGTTCTTGAGCAAAATGAGCCTGAAAGCAGAGAAAGTAAGTATTTACAAGTCCTTTACTGAGGTTAACTTTGCTGCTAAGAAGAAAAGAAACATAGTGAATTAGAATGATCAGGTTTTGGAAATTGATGTGGTTGGAGATGGAGTATATTCTTTTTGCAGGTTACATTTTTGCCATTCAATTTGTTCACAGACGTTTGTGTATCTACTATTTGCTAGGTGTCATGGAAACTGCTGATTAATGACTAGTCCTATGGGCTCTGCAGTTTAATACAAATAATCATGAACAAATTGAATTTATAAATTAAATTTACATGAGAAAGTAGACGACAGTGCTCTTCTATACCAAAACAAAAGCCTCTTGGGCAGTTAGAAAGGAAAAATACATGTAATTAATACAGATGGATCTAGGGCCAAATTATGAGGATATGTACATTCTTATTAGAGTAAAGCCACATTAGCTCAGATTGGTCAGAGAGTGGAAATATTCTGGTTATTTGAATAATCTAATTAAGAGTCATCACAGTTACCATAAATGAATTAGTAATCTTCAGAGCTTTATTATTTGCATATTAACCAGATATTTTTAATGTAATACAATCTTTGGGATATCTTGCAATTCCTCAGGCACATAATTTGGAACATTAATTATTATTAACTGTACAATATTATGTTAAAATGTTATCTTTCTGTTTGAATTCAATTCAAGGTAAGTAGAAGTTTAGTATAATAAGTAAAATTTTCTTGATAATAACAATGATTTGACTACTCTGAAAAATCAGGAAATATAAGCCTTTATGGGCAGAAGCAAGAAGAACAATCCTGTGGAACAAAAACCACATTCACAGAAAGACAGACAAGATGAAAAGGCAGAGGGCTATGTACCAGATGAAGGAACAAGATAAAACCCCAGAAAAACAACTAAATGAAGTGGAGATAGGCAATCTCCCAGAAAAAGAATTCAGAATAATGACAGTGAAAATGATCCAGGACCTGGGAAAAATAATGGAGGCAAAGATCGAGAAGATGCAAGAAATGTTTAACAAAGATCTAGAAGAATTAAAGAACAAAAAACAGAGATGAACAATACAATAACTAAAATGAAAAATACACTGGAAGGAATCAATAGCAGAATAACTGAGGCAGAAGAACTGATAAGTGACCTGCAAGACAGAGTGCTGGAATTCACTGCCATGGAACAGAATAAAGAAAAAAGAATGAAAAGAAATGAAGACAGCCTAAGAGACCTCTGGGACAACATTAAATGCAACAACATTCACATTATAGGGGTCCCAGAAGGAGAAGAGAGAGAGAAAGGACCCGAGAAAATATTTGAAGAGATTATAGTCGAAAACTTCCCTAACATGGGAAAGGAAATAGCCACCCAAGTCCAGGAAGCACAGAGAGTCCCATACAGGATAAACCCAAGGAGAAACACGCCGAGACACATAGTAATCAAACTGGCAAAAATTAAACACAAAGGAAAAATTACTGAAAGCAGCAAGGGAAAAATGACAAATAACATACAAGGGAACTCCCATAAGGTTAACAGCTGATTTCTCAGCAGAAACTCTACAAGCCAGAAGGGAGTGGCATGATATACTTAAAGTGATGAAAGGGAAGAACCTACAACCAAGATTACTCTACCAGGCAAGGATCTCTTTCAGATTTGATGGAGAAATCAAAAGCTTTACAGACAAGCAAAAGCTAAGAGAATTCAGCACCACCAAACCAACTCTACAGCGAATGCTAAAGGAACTTCTCTAAGTGGGAAACACAAGAGAAGAAAAGGACCTACAAAACCAAACCCAAAACAATTAAGAAAATGGTAATAGGAACATACATATCGATAATTACCTTAAATGTGAATGGATTAAATGCTCTAACTAAAAGACACAGGCTTGCTGAATGGATACAAAAACAAGACCCATATATATGTTGTCTACAAGAGACCCACTTCAGACCTAGGGACACATACAGACCTAAAGTGAGGGGATGGAAAAAGATATTCCATGCAAATGGAAATCAAAAGAAAGCTGGAGTAGCAATACTCATATCAGATAAAATAGACTTTAAAATAAAGAATGTTACAAGAGACAAGGAAGGACACTACATAATGATCAAGGGATCAATCCAAGAAGAAGATATAACAATTAAAAATATATATGCACCCAACATAGGAGCACCTCAATACATAAGGCAACTGCTAACAGCTATGAAAGAGGAAATCAACAGTAACACAACAATAGTGGGGGACTTTTAACACCTCACTTAACACCAATCGACAGATCATCCAAACAGAAAATTAATAGGGAAACACAAGCTGTAAATGACACAATAGACCAGATAGATTTAATTGATATTTATAGGACATTCCATCCAAAAACAGCAGATTACACTCTCTTCTCAAGTGCGCACAGAACATTCTCCAGGATAGATCATACCTTGGGTCACAAATTAAGCCTCAGTAAATTTAAGAAAATTGAAATAATATGAAGCATCTTTTCTGACCACAAGGCTATGAGATTAGAAATCAATTACAGGGAAAAAAACGTAAAAAACAAACACATGGAGGCTAAAGAGTACATTACTAAATAACCAAGAGATCACTGAAGAAATCAAAGAGGAAATCAAAAAATACCTAGAGAAAAATGATAATGAAAACACGACGATTCAAAACCTATGGGATGCAGCAAAAGCCGTTCTAAGAGGGAAGTTTATAGCTATACAAGCCTACCTCAAGAAACAAGAAAAATCTCAAAGAAACAACCTAACCTTACACCTAAGGGAACTAGAGAAAGAAGAACAAACAAAACCAAAGTTAGCAAAAGGAAAGAAATCATAAAAATCAGAGCAGAAATAAATGAAATAGAAACAAAGAAAGCAATAACAAAGATCAATAAAGCTAAAAGCTGGTTCTTTGAGAAGATAAACAAAATTGATAAACCATTAGCCAGACTCATCAAGAAAAAGAGGGAGAGGACTCAAATCAATAAAATTAGAAATGAAAAAGGAGAAGTTACAACAGACACTGCAGAAATACAAAGCATCCTAAGAGACTACTAGAAGCAACTCTATGCCAATAAAATGGACAACCTGAAAGAAATGGACAAATTCTTAGAAAAGTATAACCTTCCAAGACTGAACCAGGAAGAAGTAGAAAATATGAACAGACCAATGACAAGTAATGAAATTGAAACTGTGATTAAAAATCTTCCAACAAACAAAAGTTCAGGACCAGATGGCTTCTCAAGTGAATTCTATCAAACATTTAGAGAAGAGCTAACACCCATCTTTCTCAAACTCTTCCAAAAAAATTGCAGAGGATGGAACACTCCCAAACTCATTCTATGAGGCCACCATCACCCTGATACCAAAACCAGCCAAAGATACTACAAAAAAAGAAAATTACAGACCAGTATCACTGATGAATATAGATGCAAAAATCCTCAAAAAACTACTAGCAAACAGAATCCAACAACACATTAAAAGGATCATACACCGGGCTTCCCTGGTGGAGCAGTGGTTGAGAGTCCACCTGCCAATACAGGGGACACGGGTTTGTGCCCCAGTCCAGGAAGATCCCACATGCTGCGGAGTGGCTGGGCCCGTGAGCCATGGCTGCTGAGCCTGTGCGTCCAGAGCCTGTGCTCTGCAATGGGAGAGGCCACAACAGTGAGAGGCCCGCGTACCGCAAAAAAAAAAAAAAAAAAAAAGGATCATACACCATGATCAAGTGGGATTTATCCCAGGGATGCAAGGATTCTTCAATATACACAAATCAATCAGTGTGCTACACCATATTAATAAATTGTAGAATAAAAACTATATAATCATCTCAATAGATACAGAAAAAGCTTTTGACAGAATTCAATTCCCATTCATGATAAAAACTCTCCAGAAGGTGGGCAGAGAGGGAACCTATCTCAACATAGTAAAGGCCATATACTACAAACCCACAGCAAATACTATTCTCAATGATGAAAAACTGAAAGCATTTCCTCTAAGATCAGGAACAAGACAGGATGTCCACTCTCACCACTGTTATTCAACATAGTTTTGGAAGTCCTAGCTGTAGCAATCAGAGAAGAAAAAGAAAAGGAACACAAATTGGAAAAGAAGAAGTAAAACTGTCACTGTTTGCAGATGACATGATACTATACATAGAGAATCCTAAAGATGCCACCAGAAAACTACTAGAGCTAATCAATGAATTTGGTAAAGTTGCAGGATACAAAATTAATGCACAGAAATCTCTTGCATTCCTATACACTAATGATGAAAAATCTGAAAGAGAAATTAAGGAAACACTCCCATTTACCACTGCAATAAAAAGAATAAAATACCTAGGAATAAATCTACCTAGGGAGGCAAAAGACCTGTATGCATAAAACTATAAGACACTGTTGAAAGAAATTAAAGATGATACCAACAGATAGAGAGATATACCATGTTCTTGGATTGGAAGAATCAATATTGTGAAAATGACTATACTACCCAAAGCAATGTACAGATTCAATGCAATCCCTATCAAATTACCAATGTCACTTTGTACAGAACTAGAAAAAAAAAATCTTAAAATTTGTATGGAGACACAAAAGACCCCGAATCGCCAAAGCAGTCTTGAGGGAAAAAAACGGAGCTGGAGGAATCAGACTTCCTGACTTCAGGCTATACTACAAAGCTCCAATAATCAAGGCAATATTGGTACTGGCACAAAAACAGAAATATAGATCAATGGGACAGGATAGAAAGCCCAGAGATAAACCCACACACCTATGGTCAACTAATCTATGACTAAGGAGGCAAGGAGATACAATGGAGAAAAGACAGTCTCTTCAGTAAGTGGTGCTGGGAAAACTGGACAGCTACCTGTAAAAGAATGAAATTAGAACACTCCCTAACACCATACACAAAAATAAACTCAAAATGGATTCGAGACCTAAATGTAAGAATGGACATTCTAAAACCCTTAGAGGAAAACAAGAAGAACAATCTTTGACATAAATCATAGCAAGATATTTTTTGATCCACCTCCTAGGGTAATGGAAATAAAAACAAAAATAAACAAATGGGACCTAATGAAACTTCAAAGCTTTTGCACAGCAAAGGAAACCATAAACAAGACGAAAAGACAACCCTCAGAATGGGAGAAAATGTTTGCAAACGAATCTTAGGACCAAGGATTAATCTCCAAAATATATAAACAGCTCATGCAGCTCAATATTAAAAAAACAAACAACCCAATCCTAATATGGGCAGAAGACCTAAATGGACATCTCTCCAAAGAAGGCATACAGATGGCCAAGAAGCACATGAAAAGATGCTCAACATCACTAATTATTAGAGAAATGCAAATCAAAACTACAATGAGGTATCACCTCACACTGGTTAGAATGGGCATCATCAGAAAACCTACAAACCAAGAGATGCTGGAGAGGGTGTGGAGAAAAGGGAACCCTCTTGCACTGTTGGTGGGAATGTAAACTGATACAGCCACTATGGAGAACAGTATGGAGGTTCCTTAAAAAACTAAAAATAGAATTACCATATGACGCAGCAATCCCACTACTGGGCATATACCCAGAGAAAACCATAATTCAAAAAGACACATGCACCCCAATGTTCATTGCAGCACTATTTACAATAGCCAGGTCATAGAAGCAACTAAATGCCCATCGACAGATGAATGGATAAAGAAGATGTGGTACATATGTACAATGGAATATTACTCAGCCATAAAAAGGAACGAAATTGGGTCATTTGTAGAGACGTGGATGCATCTAGAGACTGTCATCCAGAGTGAAGTATGTCAGAAGGAGAGAAACAAGTAGGTACTTTTTGTTTCCTCCAGCCTAATAAGAATAACTGTCCCCCCAAAACAGTTTTATGAATTGTTGGCTATACACTGTTGAATGAATCCAGTTTTTAAAAGGTCAGATATTGTGTTACCTGAGTGAGTTATCTAGAATCTGTTCTTCAACAGTTGAGAATTATTTTAAGATAAGATCAGTATTCCTTTTTAACTTAAGCATTATTTTGATCTTACAATCTCTGTGACTTTAACAAATAGTCATTTATTTGAAGTGACATTTTTCTGACGTTACGTTATTCTTGAACGCTAGATGGTGTGTTGGGACCCATACCCCGGGATGAAGAACAGCACCAAAACAAGAAGCTGCGTCTTGCAAACCACTAAGAAGTCTTGTGTAAACTAGGGTGAAGGCCTCAAGAATTTTTATTGCACTTTTAAAATCCAGCCTTCTTAACTCAGAAAATAAGAATGGATTTTGGATATAATTGAAAAAAATTTTTAAAGAAAGCTAATTTATTACTAGCATATGAATGATATTAATGAGAATATTTTTATTTTAGATTTGTGTGTTTTCCAGAGTATAGTGGTGTGTTTTTTTATTACACTGAATGAGGTATCAATAATTTAATGAGACCCAGTTCAATCGGCCATACAGATTGATTTCTCCTTGTCTTAGCTTTACATTAAGCAGTTTGAAAGGGGCTGGTTTATTGGATCACACATCTCAGCAAAGAATTACATACCTTTTCAGAAACATTAATTTTTTAAAATAAATTTATTTATTATTTTTGGCTGCATTCGGTCTTCGTTGCTGCACGTGGGATCTCTCTAGTTGCGGCGAGCGGGGGCTACTTTTCGTTGCGGTGCGCGGGCTTCTCATTGCGGTGGCTTCTCTTGTTGTGGAGCAGGGGCTCTAGGCACGCGGGCTTCGGTACTTGTGGCTCGCAGGCTCTAGAGCGAAGGCTCAGTAGTTGTGGCACACGGGCTTAGTTGCTCCGCGGCATGTGGGATCTTCCCCAACCAGGGCTTGAACCCATGTCCCCTGCATTGGCAGGCGGATTCTTAACCACTGCACTACTAGGGAAGCCCAGAAATATTAATTCTTTTGGATTATGAAGGTGATAATTAGTAAACTACTCCAGGAAAATAAACGGCAACCTGGCCATTTTTAAGTCAGTGTGTGGCTCACAAAAAGTTCCCATTTATACTCAAAGCTTTCTAATAATCAGAATTTACTTAATTAGGATTGAGTCATAAAAATAAAGTTGGTGGACCTGGTCTCCATTATAAAAGTACATTCCTAACAAGGTTATTAATTTTTCTTCAGTCTTTCGATATGTAGAAATCACGATCATTTGTTGGACTAGGGTGTTTTTATATCACTGATTTTGGGTAGCAAAAGGAAGAGAATATAATTCTGAGACAGTATTACTATTTGATATCACTGACTCTTTAAACCACTAACAACAAACTTCAAATTTGGTTATGATGTTAACAGAGAAGAAATATTTTAGTCTGGAATACTGAAACTAGCCTTTTTCAAGTTCCATTCATAAATGCTGCCCATTATTCCCTCCATATAATTAGCACAGAATGTCTCATGGCTTTGAATGGAAAGCCTTATAAAAACACTTGCAAACCTTAAGAATACTGAAAGTCTTGAAAGTAAACATTATGGTCAGTTCAGTTATTTTCCAAATTGCTCTTCGTGAGTCCTCTCATTTTTATTTGCTGAGAAACTTGCAGAAAATTAGCCCGAGTCAGAGAGGGATTTGCATGGCCTGTGGCCTGCAGGCCTGCGGTGTGACATGCTGAGGAATGACTGCCCTGGTTATATGTGGGGAATCAGGTTCGCCTCTGCTGTTGCCCCCTTTCCAGGTCATCACATATCATCACAAGGCCTCCTATCAGTTTCTCAGAATTTTACACAGGACAGTCCACATGTTGACCGATGTCCCTGCTTGGACAGCAGCGTGCTTAGGCCCTCCGGGGGTTTAGTCATCATACCTGGCAGTTGAGAACTGCTGTAAACATTTCACCACAGATGTAGGACATGGAATAGAGAGGGATGGGAGGAAAGATGCCTTTAGAGGTAACTAAGGCTAATTTGAAAACCAGTGGTTAAGCTATTCTTTAACATTTATCGATATTAAATATTGAAATTTGCTTACATTATGCTTAAGTTCATCTTATATGATGTGTTGTTTTCAACTGATGTCAGCTACATCAACTATTTTGTAAATCAATGAGCAAATGTTTTGCCGGTTTTGTGGATTTATGTGTTGGACATAGTGGGGAATATCAGAAGGGAGAAATATACAAATGGGAAGAGCTATGATTAGGAAATGGAAAACTGGTTATTTCTGTAGCACTATTAAAATGGTCATGATAATGCCATATTTTCTTCTGTACAACTGGCCGGATTTCAACATTTATTGAGAGTTTACCATGTAGTACCAGAAGGAAAGCTCTTTGAGTGTAGGGATGTGTGTACGTGTGTGTGTGTGTGTGTGTGTGTGCGCGTGCGCACGTGTGTATTTAAACTGCTGAATCCAGTACCTACAACAGTGTCTGGCACATAACAGGCATTCAATAAATATTTGTTGATTGACTGAATGACTGCTAGACTCTGGCTAGACCCTGTAGATGAGATGTGTAAGAAATGCGTCCTGACCTCAGGAAGCTCACAGTCTAGCAGAAGTTGCAGGCATGAAATCAAGCAATAGAGTGATTCTCAGAAGGGGGTCCCTGGACCAGCAGCATTAGCCTCGCCTGGGGACTCGTTAGAAGTGCAAGTTCTCAGGCCCACCCAAATCTACTGAGTCAGAAACTCTGGGGGCGGGGCCCAGCATTCCCTCCAGGTGATTCTGATGACCCTCAAGGTTGAGAACCGCCCTGTGGATGTAACTGTAGGAACAGTGGTGGCACAAAAGAGGACAAGCATACACTCTGGTGAGTCATGGAGAAAGGGTCTTGTAGAAGTGGAGGTCCTGAAGGGGCTACAGGGTGTTGCCAGGCAAACAGTGGGGGTGAGATGAACTTCTGGGAGAAAGTAATGGAGATAGATGGTCACACTGGGAAGCAGGAAAGGGAAGTGTCAGGGACTCGCACAAAGATTGCTGAGCTGTACCAAGAGCGCCCTGGGGTAGCCCCCTGCCTAAAATCTAGGAATTCACAGTCAAGAGGGTTCATCCCTTAGCGTGAGAAATCAAAATTTGCACTTAAAAATACATCATCCTTAATTTCAAAGATGGGGAGGATAATAGTGAATTCATAATTTGAAAAAAAGAGCTCTGCATTTGTTTACTGCCAAGTGACAATATAATATGCCACCTGGAGGCGGGGTGAGTGTGGGCCTGGCTCGCCACCCAGCTGTCAGGTAGAGTGCGTGCAGGTTTACATGTACTGTTTCATTGCATCCCTGCCAAAGCTTTTTCTTTTATTCAGCTTTTCTATGGGTTTCTCTTCCTCAGTTACTTATTGAGTTTGAGAATATACCTTCTCTCATAAATCTTCCTCGTTTTATGCGTGAACAGTTCAGCTTTAAGATCTGCCACAACAATCTGCTTTTGACCCACTTTAGAGCAATTTTTTGAAGTTCTGGTATTGCCAATAGTGGCCACTTGGCATTTAGCTGAGGCTATTACTGTTGCTTTTTAGGATTAAGCAACAGTTTAGAACCTTCATTTCATGTATAATATTCTTCAGGGTTTTTTTTTTTTTGCTATCATTTAAAATTATAACATTTCTGATATACAAGAAAAGTTAAAAGCCCCATTAATCAGTATCAGTTGAAAATGAGACCCATTTAAAATGGAATACCCTTTAGAACCTTGTCCATAAAAATGTATTTACTCTATTCAATGAATTGCATTCAAATAGAGTCAGATTTCAAAGGAACTCAGATCTCATCTGTTTAGAATACTCCTTTATAGTTCTGGAAACAGAAGCATCCAGAAGGTGAATGATTTCTTCAGGTCTAGTTCAGAATGTCACAAGGGCCTAAATCAGTATCAGGGTTTTTTTTGTCCATTTTCAGTTTTGCTTTTAATGTAAGTGCACATTTGTCCTGTACATGTTGACATGTTGGCTGATTTTAACATGTATATGACAGTAATAAAAGACTTCCATTACTATAAATTATTTTTTAGTAAAATTACACCTACACATTTTAAATGAGCAAATAGTCCTATAAACCTTATTTTGAAACAGTAAGTCTCACGCTGTCCTCTGTATCACCCCACCCCAGAGGCCACCAGGCTCAATTATTTTAGCTGAATTATTTTGTATTTATTTCCAAATCTCCAAATCACATGTTCCTTACTAGTGTTTCAGTTTTAGGTATTTTCTTTTGAATTACCATTATGAAAGAGCTTTCTTTCACCTCACTCTCTCCACCCACTTCCATCTTTCCATCCTCCCCACATTCTTTTATTTTGGTGGCATCAATATTCATTGTCTGGTATTATGACTATGTAAATGCTACTCACAGGTTTGTCATGTTGTGTACTGTGATTACTTTCCCTTTCCTTATAAAATTTATTTTTCTGAATTTAAAATTTGACTTTTTTTGAAGGGGGGGAGCTTGGTTTTCTGTATTTTATTGCTAACCTGTAGCCAAACTCTTCTCCCAGTTGTGTGACCAACTCTTCTCCCAGTTGTGTGACCAACTCTTCTCCCAGTTGTGTGACCTTCTCTCAGTATGTTGAAGCACATTGAGTGTCCTAAAAAGCTCTTCTTATTGAAGAAATCCCTCCTAGAGCCTCTGACCACCTCTAGCCTGGGCTAATTGGTCACTAGACCTTCTGCACTGCTGGCTTCCCGGGGTCTTCCTCCACAGGTCTGCTGGAGGGAGTTGGGGGGCATTCTTCACCCTCTCCTTGAATTGGAACACCTGTTTCCTGGGATCCAGTCTTTTTCTCAGTTTGGTGGGCATATCTTTCAGAAGGGCTCTGAGAAAAGGGTACATGATGGTGGGATGACTGTCAGACAAGACTACTGTTGGGGAACATTTTCGATGCTATGAGTATCTGCAGATGTCTTTATTCTACCCTCAATTTATTTGATAGTTTGTTGGGTGTAGAATTCTAGATTGGGAATAACTTCCCCTCAGAATTTTGAAGGCATTGTTTCATGATCCTAGTTACACTACTAGAATAAGTTTCAAGGTTTGGGTTGTCAATCAGACTCACAGGAATCAATGAAGGGGGACTTCCCTCGTGGCGCAGTGGTTAAGAATCTGCCTGCCAATGCAGGGGACAGTTCGAGCCCTGGTCCGGGAAGATCCCACATTCTGCGGAGCAACTAAGCCCATGCCACAACTACTGAGCCTGCGCTCTAGAGCCCGCGAGCCACAACTACTGAAGCCCGTGCGCCTAGAGCCCGTGCTCCACAATAAGAGAAGCCACCGCAATGAGAAGCCTGCGCACCGCAACAGAGAGTAGCCCCCGCTCGCTGCAACTAGAGAAAACCCTGCGTGCAGCAACAAAGACCCAATGCAGCCAAAAATAAAAATAAATAAATTTATAAAAAAAGAATCAACAAGGGTTACTTGGCAGCAGATGCTTAGAACAATGTAGAACACAGCACAGCCTCACGCACCACAGCAGCCTCCCGAGACCTCACATTCACAGGCACGGCTTCCAAAATGTCACCATTGAGTCCCTTTTCTCTTTGTCCTATAAGTTTATGTTTAAAACACAACTCCTTTACTTTCATTTTATGATTTTGGGGGAGAAAAAAGAGGTAAATTAATGTTTGTTCACTTCCATTTTTGTATTTTCTGTAATGTTTTGGCTTTAAGCATGAAATTCCTTTCCCACAGTCATTTTAAACATTTTTA